AAATACATCACCACTGCAAGCAGTCGTATGTATCATCAAAATCCCGAATAGTATGTACCACCGTAACATCATACATCACCCTTGCAACATATCGTTTGTCACCATTTCCATATACACCATAGATCACAACAACAAGCAGCCTAATGTATCACCAGTATTCGACATCTTTTGCATCACCATAACATCACGTATTATTATTTAACAACCGGACCCGTCTTGTTTCCATGCAACATTTGTCTGAATATTATGATCCCTCCATCCCCCGTCTCGTGCGGGTTTGATCTCAGGACCACAGTATAAGTGTGTAGAGCTTAAAATCCTTGTAATAATTTTAATACATCCAGTGTTTGACAAGAATAGATCAGATTGTCAGTGGACAGGCTCAGCGAAAAGTCAAAATGACATACAAATGTCAAGGTTACAAGACAATATGAGTCAGTGAGAAAAGTTCAAAGGTCAGGAGGTCATGGGAATGTGGAGGTCGAAAGAAGGGCATGCAAATAAACTCATAGAGGGATGCAAATAACAAGTTGTTGTTTTTTGTTTTTTTTTAATTTAAAAAGAATGTTGCTGTGAGTAAAATGTATTAAAAATAAATCACTTCATATAGGCCTACGCTTTGCTTGAGATATAGTATACGCAAATATTGTTATGTAGGCTGCGGTGCTAGAGGCGTGCCACGAAATCATTGGTCAGAAATCTCCTACACAAAAACTGCTGACCTCATCATCCATCTTGGACCATGTGCTTGGGGTTTCCATTGACACATCATGTTCCCAGTCATGTTCCAAGTCATATTCCCAGTCATGTTCCCAGTCATATTCCCAGTCATGTTCCCAGTCATATTGCAAGTCATGTTCCCAGGAACCCTAAAACATGTGCTATGGGTTCCATTGACCCAGTCATGTTCCCAGTCATGTTTCCAGCCATGTTCCCAGTCATGTTCCCAGCACCCAAAAATGTGAGACTCCCTGGAAATCTTCCAGCAATGCCAACCCTGTTATGTAGGTCACTAGTCAGCCGATAACACGTCTGTACAGTACGTGTCGGATTGTCTCGAGTTTGATTGGGATTAATCGATAATTTAGGTTTTTATCTTGTTTTACTTGTCACTCTTCACACGATATATGCATGTATACATACATATATATATATATATATATATATATATATATATATATATATATATATATATATATATATATATATATATATATATGTGTGTGTGTGTGTATGTATGTGTGTGTGTGTGTGTGTGTGCGTTTGTGTGTGTACTTTTTAATTTGCAAGTGTTCATAGTTTGTGCATGCAATACTTAAATGCCACACATTTGATTAAACGATAACTGGCATACAAACAATACATACCGAGCCGTTATACTCAACAAAAACTCTCTTTTTACACAGTATGCCCGGTACCTATTCAGGCTGAGTGATCGCATATAATTTCAAGTGTGGACTTTAACACCATCTAAGTTATTTAGCAATGAACATAGAAATAATAAGAGCTTACACTCCAATAACAAAAACAATGTTTGTACGGCTAGGGAGTTTGTAAACAAAAAATAAATTGTAGAAAAAATTGTTAGTGTTACGTCATCCACATAATTGTAATTTTTACTTTAAACCAACATGCCGCGACCCTACCACGTGACAGAACCCCCACACAGTGAGCACATCCACAATGCCCTGACCACTACCATCATCACGTGACCTGACTCAATACCCCCATACTGACCACTCCCATCATCACGTCACTTGGCCCACAACTGACCACTACCATCATCACGTGACCTGACTCAATACCCCCATACTGACCACTCCCATCATCACGTGACTTGGCCCACAACTGACCACTACCATCATCACGTGACCTGACTCAATACCCCCATACTGACCACTCCCATCATCACGTGACTTGGCCCACAACTTACCACTACCATCATCACGTGACCTGACTCAATACCCCCATACTGACCACTCCCATCATCACGTGACTTGGCCCACAACTTACCACTACCATCATCACGTGACCTAGCCCAATACCCCCAACTGACCACTACCATCATCACATGACCTGACTCAATACCCCCAACTGACCACTCCCATCATCACGTGACTTGGCCCACAACTGACCACTACCATCATCACGTGACCTAGCCCAATACCCCAACTGACCACTCCCATCATCACGTGACTTGGCCCCCAACTGACCACTACCATCATCACGTGACCTAGCCCAATACCCCCAACTGACCACTACCATCATCACGTGACCTGACCCATTACCCCCCAACTGACCACTACCATCATCACGTGACCTGACCCAATACCCCCAACTGACCACTCCCATCATCACGTGACTTGGCCCCCAACTGACCACTACCATCATCACGTGACCTAGCCCAATACCCCAACTGACCACTCCCATCATCACGTGACTTGGCCCAATACCCCCAACTGACCACTCCCATCATCCGTGACCTAGCCTAATAACTGACCACTACCCTCATCAAATGACTTAGCTCAATACCCCCTCTCCAACTGACCACTACAATCATCATATGACCTAGCCCAATATCCCCCTAACTGACCACTACTATCATCACGTGACTTGGCCCAATCCCCCCCCCAACTGACCTTTTCCTCATTCACTCTCCACTGTGTGAATTGATAACGCAAATCAATTTTAACAGTTTTTGATTGATTTCAAATCGATATCGATCTCACGTTGAAATGCGTGAGTCTACATGAAATGTTATAATCACTAAATAATTAAAGCCCGGCTACACAGTTAATTTAAGATGCCTGGTGGTGAATAGATGCGGCGATTAGCAAGGGACAAATTAGCATAAAACTCATTAACTATTACGTTGGCTTGGCTTGGCTACCAATAAATACTTTAAAAAGATTTAATTAATACGAAATCGAACATTATAATTAATTATGCTCCATTTGGCTTGGCTTGGCTACCAATAAGTACTTTAAAAAAATTAATTAATACGAAATCGAACATTATAATTAATTATGCTCCATTTTGAACCCTGTTATTTAACTGTCCAATTTATTATTGTTGTTACTTTTACCTGAATCTAATATACCGTTTGTGGGGAGTGCCGTCCTTTGGGAAATCAAAAACGATTTTAGTAGCTACAATTTCTTTACGGAGTAAAAATTTGCGCAGTAGACATTTTTCGTAGTCTAGGTTGTTGTTTTTTTCGTTCTCATATTCTTTTATTTTTTTTTAAACTTGGTTTTATATTTATATGAGATACTATTTATTTTTTGTGCGTAATTTCGATCTGAGCAATATAATGTAAATTTTGTCGCAGGTATTGCTTGTAATCTAAATCTATAAAACCCCACGTTCGCACCTCTCTCTCTCTCTCTGTCTGTCCGCAAAATATTTTCGCCGGACATCACGTCAGAAACGGCAGCGATATATGGAGAACTTTATACGGACTTTTGTTGAAAATAATATGTTAGATGTTTTAAATGTATAACCACAATTTTATTTAAAGAAGAAAAAAAAAATTGAAGGCGTATTCGAATGTAGAGAAACAGTATTATTTATGCAACCGGAAAAGCATTAATATATGTGAAAAAGAACGCATAAAACTGTGACGTCACTATTGCTTATACATTAACTAATGACGTCATCTGCCGTGTTTAGAATAAAAAGAAATGAACTATTTCATTCAAATTTGATTTAGATCTACGTACACTATGAAATGTATACAATACAATTTTTCCGGCCTAAACTCATAAAATTTATTTTATGTATTTGGATTCTAGATCTAGAGATTCTAGATCTAGACTAAATCTAAATCTACGCAATAACTAGATCTAGACGTAGACGCTAAGATCTAGATTTAGACTCTAACTTCTCTAAAATCAATTCCAAAAATAAATTTCTATATTAGGACTAAACTATTTCAAGACTTATTTATTTTATACAAAATCTTTGTTTGGAACTGGCTAATTTGTGATAAAAAAATTAATTTGAAAGAATAGGCATATTCGCGTAAGTTAAGATTTTAAAATACGTGTTTCATTCTCCGTATATTATAAGGTGCCTAAATAGCGGAGATGTTAGTGTACATTAAACCACGCAGGTGGTGCGGGTTCGAGACACACCAAGTCAACTTGGTTAATGTATTTTTTAAAATTATGCTCGGGCTAAACTTAAAAAAAAATTCTTTTAGGAATCTAGATCTAGATCTAGATTGTCGGGTGTCCGATAGGGCACTTCCCGGCGCCGCAGGCGCTTCAAATTTTGCAGGACCTTGCCTTGGGGCGACAGAACACGGGGGCCGGTTGGCCGAAAAGTCTACGATGAGGGGGTCAAAACTGACCTCGACTGACTGGTACCTTATATGAGCTATAAATTTTAAAAAAATGTCCACGGAGGAACCTCTTCATAACTCTTGAGGTCGTAGACCGACCCTCGGGCGAATTAATTAAGCATTCAAATTCTCAATGTTTTCGAAAGCCTAAGCGAAGCTGGGCAGCATGCCTAGTGATACATAAAACGTTTGGGCTAAGAGGTAAGGCTAGGAGTAGGACTTGGAATAGACAAAATCTTAAGTATCAACAATAACCAGTCTAATAAGTGACTACAGTTATAGTCACGTACTTTATAAGTAACTGTTGCTTGAAGCAACGACTTAAAACATAAGTTTTAAACTGTGCACGACTTACCTCCCCACCCCTTCACCCCTGTCGAATCAATCATTAAATTATAATTTTAGGTCCCCATTTGTAATGTCTACAAACTAGGAGAAAGAATTGGGTAGTTTTGTTAGAGTCAGGTTTAGATATGTAGTTTTGTTAGAGTTAGGTTTAGAGTTGTACTTTTGACATATTTTACACTAGAGTATTAATGTATACTGTTGTTAGTGTAAATCTATCTTTCTAATTAGATATATTTATTTGCAGTTGGTGTTTATAATAGTAGGCCTATATATTAGTTCTAAGGAGAAATATACTTTCTTTTCTTACCATTTTATTTTCGATCTAACTGCGTGAAGAAAAACTCGTCCAAAAAAATAGAAATGTTATGTTTATAATCCTTTTAAACTAACTTTTAAAATCCCTCTTGGTCTATGTGCACACACAACTACCTGCCACAATCCTATTTGGCTTACTAATTGCCCCGCCGGCAGCAATGAAAATCTGGCCAGTGCTGTGCTGCGGGACAACGGGAACGCCAGTTTCTAACGGGAAGTAAACAAAACCAAAATACAGGCAACCGGTGAATGAGCCGTTCGGGGCAATAAAAACAATAATACAACAAGAGGGGGGAGGTGGGGTGGGGGGGGGGGGGTGGAACAGAAGTGGCAGATATGAAAAAAATATCACGGCGAGGATTAACTAGGCTAAAAATAAATAACTCAAGCTTCGCGAGTCAAAGACAAGGGGCGTAACCCTATTACACAAGAAAGCTGCTTTAATTTTTTTTTTTAAATTTCACGTGTATAAGAGTTCAATGCTATGTATGAAGTTATTTTGATTATATGGAATATAACATAATATGTTTTTCTATTTCAAATTTGGAGAAATATTTTAAATTTTAAAATATTTTCAGAATTTCCGTTGGAGATATAAATTTACCCATAATACTCTATTGTCAAATATTATTTTTTTTTATGTTGAACACCATTTTGTTGAAAAGAGTGTATGTTAATCTCATACTAACCCAAGATTTATGTATGCAATTTATAGGTAGTCTGTAGGGCGTATTCGATTACGTATTTTTCTACCAACTCTAACACTAATATAGACTTAATTCATAATCCCACATCTAATCTTAGCTCTAATCTTAATCCTGACACAAATAACACAATTACAAAAAAAAATGAAAGAAAAAAAAACAAGTAGAATAAAGGCACGTATAAGCCTTTGTTTAAACCATCTACCTTTATGGGATTTGAGTAAGGTGGGGACTAGTTTCTATAACGAGATTACACTTAGTTAAAGTGGTGTGATTGGCTTTGATCTCTTCTATTTACTGCAGGCTTATTATATTTAATAGAAAAGCTGTTTGTGTAGTGATAAGTGTGTGTGTGGGGGGGGGGGGAGGCTGTATACTAGTTACAATGGAGCTGTGGGTGTATTAGTAAGTATGGGGGCTGTACGTACAGTTACAATGCAGCTATTTGTGTAGTGATAAGTGTGTGTGTGGGGGGGGGGGAGGCTGTACACTGGTTACAATGGAGCTGTTTGTGTAGTAATAAGTGTGGGGGCTGTACATACAGTTAGAATGGAGCTGTTTTGTGTAGTGGTATGTGTGGAGCTAAACATACAGTCACAATAGAGCTGTTTTGTGTATTGAACATATCGGCTTATCAGTTATCTACTGAACGATAACACAGATCAATAACAGGGTGGGTCGATAGTAGGCGGGCGGTTAACGTTTGGTAAACTTTGTAACCAGTGGAGCGTAGCGGCACTGAGTCAAAGTGTAGTAGAACAACATCAAAGTGAAGAGAGTCGGCGTCTAGTGGTACGGCTACATAGATGTTTCACAATTTGTGATTTTAGAAGACACGTGTGTGTGCATTTGCTTAACACGGATCGCACGTGTTATGTTAATATAAATGTAAACTGGTATCACTACATATACCATATAGTGCATGGAATAATTAACTTACGTATTGTTTTAGACATATGAGGTACATATGGCAGGGGAAGTTAGGTTTATATGTACGACTGACTTTTGTGAAGTGATCGTGAAGCCAGCACTTTGTGAAAAACAAGACACATATTACACATTTAGATATCTCCACGCTAAATAAGAAAAAAAAAAATTGTTCATCATTTTCTAATTACTAACACTGACAAAGACATGTTCTGGAAACGTAAACACTATATTTTTAAAAATTCAATACATATTTAAAAAAAAACTGGGATTACAATTATATTCATAAGACTTTAAGATCTGTCGCGATAGTGTTTAGATAATCAATAACAAAAACACCGCAGTATTTTATGCTTAGGTCTGTCAACGTGGGGCGAGTCCGACAAAGGTTTTAACACTTCAATTTTTTACCTAATCGGGTGCAAGCGGCGTGGGTCTTTGCGGGGGTCGTGTGTTAACAATGGCTGATTCAGTGTGTTCGTCATTCGGGGGTAGTCAAAGGTCGATATTTTTACAAGTTCGATATGCAAATTAACAAACTTTTAAAACGCCCTTTTTAAGAGGTCTACAATTAGACATGGTGTGGGGGTGGTTGGAAAACCAGTGGGGGTAGGTTTGTTTAACAGTGGCGTGTCCAAAGTGGGATAGGGGGAGGGGGGCTCTGCCTAAATAAATGGTTATAAAAATGTCGGAGTTGTACCTGTGACTTAACTGTTTAGCCAGAGAACGGTTAAATGTTAAGTGAAGACTATGGTCAAAATTACTTGAGGATTGTGGGCTTCTCTAAATTAAGTGGGTCCTTTGCTTCTGCCCGTTAGCACCTACCTTAATCCGCCTCTGTGTGTAGCTACAAACCTAACAGAATAATACTTTACTAAAATTATTAGGTCCTAATAAAGTAAAGTTCACTTACAAACCTGACGGTTTATAGGACAAGTGAAGTAGAGTTCACTTGTTTATGTGACCTCGGCATATGAGCAGTCCAGCTTTCTACCGCTAGACCACTCCGTCCCCCATTACGCCCTAATAACTAAAATAAAATCAGCTTCTTATTTTGCTCTGCTGTGTTTTTTAATTAAATCATATTCTTCCTTGCCTTCAATAATTCATTGTTATTTCCCTTGAACTGACACCTGTGTGTATCTACTGTTGTAGTTACCAGCAATACAAACCGCTATGGACTGCTAGGCAGGTGTGGTCACATGTTTGCAACCTTGGTCGTCTGGTTCGACACTTTACCACAGTACGTAGACAAGCTTTATCGCTGATTCCCGGAAATTAAAACTGGGTCCGACTTTTTGTTTTTGACGTGGGTTGTTAATTAATGAGAAGACTCATTATTGAATTAACAGGATTCGGTTGTTACTTGTGTGCATTTTTTTTACATCGCTGGTAACGGTGAGTTTGGGTGTTGCATTTTAGCAAGGCGCATCAACGCGCAATGTGCATCAGATAGGTTACTGAACGATTAAATGTTCTCCATGCAAAATATAAAATCCACTGATATAATGATGAAATATTATTTTAAAATTATAATAAAATACTAAACGCTATGCTGATAGAATTGTTTATCTCAAGTTGAATCTACTAATCTAATTAATCTGTATTACAAATATACCCGACTGGAATCCTTTGACCACATGGGGTTGAAATAACTTTACAAATGATGCATGAAATTAAAATCCTTAGTTTTAACAAGGGAGGCTACTTGAAACATTTTTTTCGCTTAATAATTTCATTGGTTTTGTCCCTTGGTCATTGTAAATAAAGTTATAAAAATAACTTATTTTTAATTTTTAGAACTCAATCTAAATTTTTAAATCTAAACTTTTAAATTCTTTTTTTTTTTCTGTTTAACAAATGTATTATATTATTTTATTTTTAAATAAGATATTTAAATGTTTGATGTGTTGATGTTAGGTATCAATGACTGGACTTTAAAATGTCTCAGTCTAGTCCCCCCCCCCAAAAAAAATGTCAAATGCCCCCCCTCCCCCCCCCCCATCCCCCCACCCCCACTCCCCCCGGAGATAAAAGTCTGGATGTAACACTGCCTACTTGTTTTATCATTTTTTCTTATAATAAACATCGTAGTCTTGACATTATTTAATCGTATTACTATTTCTTAAATTACAGCATAACCACCCCCCCCCCCCCCCCAATTTGAAATGTAAGGAAAGTGCAAAACAAAATACATAAAATAACAGCAAAATACATTTTAAAATATTTTAATACTTTATACTGGAAGAATACATGTACATGATATTTATGCAATATCAAATTTAAGTATAAAATGCTGTTTTACAAACTTAATTAATTCAGGTTATAATTAGGCTATGAATAAGCATAAATTATAACTCTGAATAACTGAGAATGAATATTCAATAAAATTACTTGTAGCGCTCTACATTGTGAACCAGGAAATGGTTGTTTATATTTTAACGAAAAAAAAATTACCAGCAGGTTAGATAACTCTATGCAAGGGACGTAACTATTTACACACCACTACGCCTGATCTCCCCTTCGCTGACTGTCTACATACCGGAAGGCAAAGAAGAACCAGGCTGAACACGAGGGCTCCCCTCACGAGGGCGAAAGTTCTAGAAGACCTGCTCGTACAGCAGGAAGATGGTGAAGACGTTGTAGTTGGCGTGGACCCAGCTCTCCCCGTACCCCCCGTCCACCAGCATGACGTAGACCTGGTCGCCGAACCCCAGCTGGGCGATCGTCTGCGTGGAGCTGGACGGGTAGAAGCCCGCGTTCTTCGAGTCGTCTGCCCAGAGGGCGGCGATGGGCCGGTTGTTGATGAACACCCTGGCGTTGACCTTTGCCCCCGGATGTGACATCAGGTACAGCGAGATGACGTAGGTGCCCGGGATGGTGCAGATGAACATGCCGGTGACGTTGTCGTAGTTGTCGGCCAGATCTGTGAATGGTTGAGAGGCGGGTTCAGTGTTCCTTAACAAACTATGTTCCATAACAATGTTCCTTAACAAACAATGTTCCTTAATAATGTTCCTTAACAAATTTCAGTGTTCCTTAACAATGTTCCTTAACAATGTTCCCTAACTCACAACTTTCCCTAATAATGTTCCTTAAGAACAGCGTTCCTTAAAATTACGTTCCTTAACACACAAAAAACTGTTCCTTAACTGACCTTAACACACAAAAAACTTCCTTAACATTCGTAGCCCTTTTCAATGTTACTATAATTAAATGTAATTAAATTTTACAATAAAATTAGTATTTTACTGTTCTTTGGATAACAGAGCACCTTTCGATATTCTTTACCCTAAACAAATCACTATTAAAATACTTCTTCCAATGATCCTATAAAAAATGTTCCTAGATCTATAATGAAATAGCTCTTTTCAATTTATCCTATCACAAAATCGTATGTTCTATCCAACATTTTTTGTGACATTAGTAATATAAAACGCATTGGGCAGTTCACATTTTTAAAAATTGGTAATTTCTTAAATATTTTTAGCAAATGAAACAAAAATCAGTTAAAGAACTATTCCTAACACCAAAACAAACTTTCTGTTTAAAATAATTAAATTTTGATTTACAAAGTCAAAACCAAACACATTCAAGCGGAAAACCGTTTCAACTTTTCAACCACAGTCCCTAACGTTTCATCGTCTAAAGTCAAAACTAGAGGCTACAAAAATATAATAGTGATAGAAAAACATGCATTGTATTTGACTTTATGCAGAGTGGATAACTCTGCAAAGTCAGACTTTTAATTTATGTACATTGTTGGCTTTGATCTTAAGTTGCTTCCCTTTTTTAATTATTCCTACCTAACAGTTCAAGATCAAAGGGGATTATGGTGTCCTTGGTAGGCCCGAAATGTGACGTCAGAACCGCGGAGACTGCCGCCTGAGCCCGGGGAGGGACTGGAAACGCCACGTCATCGCAGGCTGGCCCCAGACAGGGGGCGTCGCTGTGGTTGGCAGCAGTGTGGTTGCTGTTGGCCATCCCGCTGGTCTTGGGGTTGACGTTGATGTTGCCGGTACCCACATTGGAGTTTTTACCGTCGCCGCCGCTGCTCTTGTTGTCGGAGGTTGGCTTGCGTAGACTGAAGTCTTGGACCATGTAGGCGCTGATGGGTGGGACGTCTGCGGACAGTCAACAGAATTTAACGGTGAGATAAAGAGCGGTAGGTTTTACATATCTCATTTAGGTTTGAGAGTTATTAAACAAGAACGCTAGAAAAGGTATAACATTCTGTGAAGGCATAATGGGCGCATTTGATTGCTTCTTGTGAACGATCTAAGCGTTTGAGCCAAAATATTAAGCAGTTTCAATAAAAATAATTCTGTTCAAGACTTATACAAGGCATCAGTTAAAGACAGTCTGATAGAAAATAGAATTACTCGCAACAAGTAGGTTTAAATACAGTTTAGGTGTTTATTCGAGAAGTATATCGTGAACTTTTATGTAAAATAGATGGTAACTATACCTGCAATCTATTATACCAACAGTGCAGTCTACTATACTTGTAGTCTTATACCTGGTACATACACTTCACAGCTATGCTGTTTATACGTACTTCACACTGAAGAAAATTAAAACACCTCATGTGAGGCGCCCCCCCCCCCCCCATCTCTCTAAATTTTCCCATCACCTTAGTTGGGACTCTACTTGCAGCTTTATTGATATGGTAAGAATTTAATCTCCAGGCCTAACATAGTAAAATATCAATCTTATTGTTAACATCTTGCATGAAAAATGTAAAAATTACCATCTCACCTTCGGGTGCCAAAGAACCAAAGTATGGCAGCCCGCCGAGCGTTCTTCCTTTATTTTTGTCTTTTTCTGATGCTGGGGTTGGCGGGTGGACAGCAAGGGTTTCGTTCTTAACGCCAGTCAACTTGGGGGCAGCCTGTTCGGTGTTGTTGGGTTTGATGTCGTTGAAAACAAAGGGGCGATCACTCTGGTTCGTGTTGGTTTTCTCCCGATTAGGGCTCATATCTTGTTGGCTACTGGGGTTTAATTTACTCGCAAAGTTCTTGTCTGTGTTTCCGAAACTAGATGTCAAGTTCGAAATAGTTGAGAAATTAGCCTGCTGATTGTTAAATTGGGTTAAATTTGGCACGGGTCCATTATTAAACTGTGTGTCGTTGACGCCAGCTTTGGGTTTTACATTGACCATGTGACCGTTGCTTGAATTCAACGGAGTCCCTGTCTGATTCAAATTGATAAAAGGGCTATCGTCTGCCGCACGTTTGCTCGTGGATACATTTCGATCTGGGAAGTTCCAACCTTGACCATCGGTGGAGTTTTTCTCGTTTGAAAAGTTTGAAAAGTTTCCACCGGAAGAGTTGGAAAGATGAGGCGAGTCTCCTGACGGGCTGGTAAAGAAAGTCTCAACGTTGAAAAACTGCATTTGGATACCGTCGTCTGTTTTGTTTTTCAAACTCGAAGCTGGAAAAACCGTTAGGTTACTCACTGCTGGGTGGCTTAAGTCTATTTTTGGCATTTGTTTTGAGTTCGGCGAGACGTTGTTGCTGAGTATTTCCGGTTTACTGAAAGTTTCGTTTTTCGCAGAAGCCTCAGTTGCGTTGTCCTCCGTCAAATTGGCAGACGACAAATTTGGTTTGTTCAAAAAAGTAGATTTTTCCTTTTCAACTGAAGCAGGGGCGGAAAAATTAAAATGTGCAACCGGTTTTGTCCGGTTTTCCTTCACTGTAGTTGTATTGTCATCAACTTTTGGAAAAGAATTATAATTGTTGGTAAAATTCAAAGTTGAATTGTTGTTTTCTGAAGTTGTATTGCCAACAACGACGTCTTCGGTCAAGTTTTTAGATTTCAAAACTTGACCATTCAAAGCCGGAAATTTGTCGCTTGACGCAGGTGCCGAAAAATTAAAATGTGCAACCGGTTTTGTCCGGTTTTCCGATAATGTTGTTGTGTTATCATGAAAGTCAAATTTCGGAAAAGATACACTATGGTTAAAGTTTAGGTTGATGTCATTGGTGTCTGATGTTTTATTGATGTTGATTTTGTCATCTGTCACGTTTGGAGTGGTCGAAATCGGTTTGTTGAAAACCGGCAATTTGTCCTTAACTAATGAAGCCGGCGCCGAAAAATTAAAATGTGCAACCGGTTTTGTCCGGTTCTCCGTTGTCGTTGTTATATTGTCATCCATGTTGAACATCTGAAAGACTGTATTGGAGTTGTCGCTAAAGTTCAAGGTCATATTGTTCTTGACAGATGTTGTATTGTTGTTGTCCATCTCCTCCGTTGTATTTGGAGTCGTTAAGTTTTGTTTATTCAAAAAAGGTAATTTATTCTTCTCAATTGATGCAGGTGCAGAAAAATTAAAATGTGCAACCGGTTTGGTCCGGTTTTCAATTACTGTATTATTTTCAAAATTTGTAAAATTAAAAACGGGTATTGGGGCATTACTGCTGAAATTAAACGTAATATTTCTCGTATCTCCAAAATCAAAATTCGTTCCGTTCGAGACGGTTGCGTTGACCTCGATCAGTTCGGGTATTACGGGGTCAATGATGTTAAATATTTGATCGCTGATGTTAAATGAACTTTGAGATTTCTGAAACGGTGCTCTGTTCTGGGGAAGAGCTTCCGGTTCACCTGGTGATTTTTTGGCACTCCTTGGAAGTTGGTCGTCTGCGTGAGTGACAACCTGTGAGACGTTGCCAGTCAACGAACTATGGTGTGTGTTAGCACCTGTCGTCTGCGTAACTACATCACTGTTTCTGTTCAATACCCCATCCTGTCTCGTCCCTTCTCCGTGAGTACTTGTGTTCCGTGTATTCAAGTCGGTTGTAAAATTATGTTGTGTTTTTCCGAAGTTGCCGAAAGATGTGCTCAAATCATGCTTTGGTTGTCCGTTGGTCGTGTTTTGAGAACCGTCGCCGAATGTGAATGATGTCTGTTTTTGCTGGTTCGACACTGCGTTGTCGGTTGTTTTATTGACGTTTGAGAATATTGATGGTTTCTCGAATCGGTTTTCGGTATTATTTCTAGAAGATTCCGCGCTCTGATTGAAGAAGGTCCCTAACTGATTGATGTCTGGAAGATTATCAGACGACACCAGAGTTTTGCTGGTGAGGTTTTTGGTGTGCGGCTGTACGTCATCGACGCTGGTGGCGTTAGGTTCAGTTGTGAGAGTGTCGGACGTATTATCCTGAGTTGAATTACTATACAGATATAACGACGATAGTGTCTCGTTCTCTGCACCGGGTGACCTCTGCTTGCCTGGGTTAAAGACACCGACGTCATCGACCACCTTCATGGTTGAATGCTGCTTCGGGTGTGTGCTGTTCGTCTGCTTCTCGTCTTCGTGTCTACTGCTGCTGCTTTTTGGCGCGATTTCCTCTTTCTTCTCGCGCTGTAGAAGGGCGTCTCTCGTCTCTTTGGATGTCTTCTGTCTAGGCAGATTCGAGATTTGAACTTTGTTCAGCTGTTTACTTGTGGTGTCCCTGGTACTGTTCGTTTCTTCTCTGTTTGTATTTGTTGATTCTCTATTTTTGTTCGTATTCATACTTGAATTCAAGGGCTGCGAAAACTGATCCAAGTCGTCTATTTGTTCTTTTATATCTAGCCCACTGTTGTTATACCCTGTAAAGGTCGAGTCTCCTGTGCCGTTCATCTGGTTCCTGAATAGGTCTGGAAGAGTCGAGTTAACGGAACTAGACCTCTGCTCCCTGGTGAACACGAACTGCGACTTGAACGCTGTCGGTTTTTGGTGTTTAGACACATCCTCCAGCGTGGCATTATGGGAATTGTTGTCTGAATAGGGTAACCCAACGCTTACACTGAAGTCGAAACTATTTACACGACTATTGTTCAAATGACTTCCGTTAACCTGATTTGTAAAATTCATAATATCTGTTTGAGTCATCTTTAGCAGAGGTACGCTAGCATTGGCGTCGCTAGCAGGTTGTAACCTGTTAAGATCGATCCTTTCTAAACCAACGATACTTCTGTTTACCAGCTCAGTAAAATTTGATGCACCAACAGTGTCGATTCTGCCCAGTGTAGCACCAGAATCGCGACTGATTTTATCTTTGTGGGAATAACTAACCTCGTCTTCGTTTGCGTCTATTGTGGCCTCGTTTGTCGAGTTTGATGAAAGATCATTATCACTTACATCATCATCAGCCTTCATAATATCATCGACCAACACGTCATTATTTTTGTTTTCTGACTCGTTGGTAGCAAACGCAGTATCATTTTTCGCCAATTCTTTGATGCCCTTTTCGTCAAGTTCCGTCAGTTCATCGTCATGGTGCGACTTGATCTCCAGGGAAGTGTTTCCTTCTTGTGTGACCTTGGCCTCTAGACTTATTTCAGACGTGTTCAAATTGTCTTTGTTCTTGAGCCCCGCTAATAATGAATCGCTGGGTAAGATTAATTTTAACATTGGAGTGTCTTGAAGTTCAGGTGAGTCTAATTTCATCATAGGGGCAACTTCGTGTGAATCTAATTTTATCTGGGAAATGGCTGCCGACGAAGATATCGTCTGCTCTGTTTTGACATCTGTATTGTTCAACACAGTCGTTTCTTCAGTCGTGGTAGCTTGAGTTGAATCATTTATACTTTTAGAATTATCTGGAAGTTTGTCTTGAGAAGGTAACATTTCCTCTTGAGCTGTTTCCAAAGTTTCAAGCAGATCCTGAGTTTTCTGAAAATCTTCCTGTGATTTCTCGCTGTCTCCAACGACATCTTTCTCGCTATTTTTAGTGTTGTTTACTTTTAAATCTTCTTCTTTTATACTAGCAATCGTTGGTTCCGAACTTGCATTTTCATCGTGAATAATTTTACTTTCGTCTTTCTTATCTTCAACGTTAACACCGAAATCTTCATTCTGTTTGGTTTTCATTTCTTCCGTCGCTGTTTCGTCGTTGTTTTCATTTTTCTTATCTGACGCCATGACGCGATACAGTTCATCGAGATGTGGGTCGGACATGTAAGCGCTGATTCTCTTCTCTGACCCTGGCTCCCCTGCGGCGGACGAGTCCATTGACTGGGTATCCCCGCTGACGAGATAGTTCGAAAAAAAGTTAGGACTACTTCTGTCTTCTACGTAGTTATCTAACGTGTAGAAAGAGCTTTCTTCGTGGTCTGACGTTTGTTTCGGCGTCTTATTCCCGTTTTTTGAGAAAATGTTCCTTTTGTTTTTTAAATCTTTGTCGTTGACGTCATCGAAGTTAAGCGAGTCGTCGAGAACTAGATCTTTCTCGTACCCAGGGGGCTGGGGTTTCAGACCCGCGGTGGGAAACCGTGTATCGGGGTCGTAGTAATACAAGTACGCCTGCTTTTCGTCTTCTTTTTGGTTTTTCATGGCGCCAATTTTTTCATACAAGCTAGAGATCAAATTGCGATCTTTCCCGAAAAGTTTTTCAACATTTTTGGCTTTTTTAGATTTCGAAATATCTAAATAATCTTTGAAAGCATCATCGTTGCGATTGGCTCCGAAGAATCGATTATTATTATCTTTGTAATCGTTCTCTGCTTGGTATCCGTGTTGGGTATTGTCGATTACATCTAAAGGAGCTTCGTATCCGTTTCCAGTGAGTTGTTCTTGCTCTTTGAATACGTCATCGCCTCCGTAGTTTCCCAGCTTGTCCATATGGAGAGCGATTTCCGGGTCTTCTCCTGGCGTGTCCTGTTTTACACTGGTACCGCTGCCGTCTGCTGCCTCGTCTTTAGACGTCCACGTGTTGTCCTCCCTCCTCTTGTTCATAAGCCAGGACGCGATCCGCTCCTCCAGCGTCATGTGGGGTTTGATCTCCTGGGAAAAACTACTCGTGTCTTTAGCGCCGGACAATTTCTCCACGCCCTCGCTGTCTCTCGGTAAAGATTTCTTCGACTGCGCCCTATCCTGTTTACTTTTTCTAGAACTTTTTCCTTTCTTTCGTTTCGAATCTTTCGCTGACTTCCCAGTCATTCGACCTTGGTCGTTAACATTATCTCTCGATCTCGACCTTGACCTCTCCTCCAGTTCTGCTAAGCGCATGAAATCATCGTTCAGCGCAGACCTATCCATTCCCCCATTTTGAATTAAGGGGCTGTAATTCAGATTATCGAATTGATTGCCCTCCCCTCTGCGGTCTGGGAGGTTTTCTGTGGAGAAGTCATGAGTAGGGTTGTACTGACTACGTTCGTAGTCGTCGAGGTGGGCTGTAGGCACGATGTAGGCGCCCGTAGGCAGGACGCCGAGAAGGACGAACATCACGACAACGGTCACGGCTCTAATCCTCATCTCCGGGTTACAGAAATCAGAAACAGCAGCGTGTGACGTCATCTCTGGAGATGGACAAGAGAGGAAATAATTAGAATTTTAAATGTAATGACTGACCAGGCAGTAGATGACAGAGTCAATAATATTTTAAACGATGCCAGACTAATCAACCAGAAAACGAAACAAATCCGGGGTTGTTTTTTTACTACAGTTTCTGAGGAACGCAATGCAAGTTCCTAAAATAGGAGTTGAATGGCGAGGTATTCAAACACAGGCAGGATACAAATACATAGCTCCTCATACCATATATATATGTATATATATATATATATATATATATATATATATATATGATAAAAATAAATACTATATATATAATAACGAAATTGCAGCTGTTGTTAGTTAGTGTTCTTTATCATTTAAAACTTAAATATTGTTAAAAACTAATGTTAGATAAAGATTTTTTTTAAACTCTTTTCTGTAGAAAAAAATATAACTTACAAAATATCTTCACCTATGTTTATGTTTTACCTAACTAGAAAGAGAACTCTGAAGAGCAACACTAAACAAAGCGTATTTATACCTTTTATTTTCATAGGTTCACTCCCCTTAAATCGCCAAGAAGAGCGCCCACATGGAAAAAATTCTCCAAGACAATGAAACATACAGAGTCGGCGTCACCCAGACTAACACAGTAGTTTGTTCTGTAGTTTTAGTACTTACTTTCAAAATTCGTGTATATTTTACAAAGAAAACATCGTATAAAAGAGATTTGAACTCACCTGGGATATAAGCGTTAATTTTGACTTTTGCTCCACGTTGAGTTAGTCCATACCGTCAGTCAGCCGTCCAGACGTTAGATTGGCCAGGTCTGACCTCAAGCGAGACGGTTTGTGTTTGTTTGTTGTCATTGTCAACACACGTTTTTTTTTTCCTTTTTTTTTCCTGGCACAAACTGGCATATAGAACTTTGAAAAAAAAAAACTGGCTTTCTGTTTTGTATTTTATTTTATTCTTAAAGTATGTATCTTTTTTAAATTAAGATATAATTAAGATATAATTAAGGTTACCATTTTTAGTACCACGTGTGTACGCTTTAATGTTATAATAATAATTGTGTATGTAAACATATTAAAGGAAACAGAAATCGGTGAGAAAACGCAATGAAGATTTAAGCTGTTTTGCTTTTTGCAACCCCACGTTTTGCATTATCTACACATAAACTTTGTACACTAAACCAAGACATACTTTTGTTTCTTTCATTCACTATAATCTAAAAGTAAGATTATAATTATTGATAATGAAGTATCAAATTTCCAGTCTTTCTTTTTTAAACCTCCTACTATCATTTTAATTACTATGCTATTTTCTATTAGTTTAATTTTTAACAATTGAGATATAAATAAATGTACATATTATTAAATATACGGTTGATTGCAGAGTTGGAAAAAAAAGTGTGTCTATGTAATATGATGCTGTTGATGTAAAAACTACCCTTCGTTAAGAACGAAAATAAGCTTGGTTTTGCAAGGGTGCCCAAAAAAAGACTAATTATAAAACTGGGTTCACTTTTTGTCCGTGCCCTAAATGTGTGCGGCTGTCTACGCCCCTGGGAACAGCGGACGCCACTCCTTCTAGATTGACTCCCACGACAGGGTTGTGCCCCGTTAGTTGATTTAAAAACACAACTCGGGACAGCTGTCAAAATCTTTCGCGAAACAAATCCAATGATGTGTCAACAGCGCGTGTGATTGTCTCCCCTGGCTTGATTGCGGGCCGTGTTTGTCCACTGTGCCGTTTGGGCATGTTCAGGTGCGGGGCAGGGGGTGGGGGGCAGTGGCTGGAGACGTGGTACACTGGCGAGAAGTGCATGAACTGAGGTGTTGGGGGGGGGGGGGGTCGTCAAAAAGTCTGCCCGACTTTTTCTTCGTTCAAATAGAAACTGTTTGGCTTTTGCTTTTAATGATTTTATTATTAGGGCTATTTGGTTCAGAAAAATTTCACCGAAACTGCGCAGATAAATTATTGCGTTGTAAAATGTTTTCAACCTTCGAAAATATCACATCTAGAATTATTCAGCAACAAAAATACCCAAAAAAAATAAACCTCTATACAGTTTTTATTTAAAAAAAAAAAAAGAACAAATAAAAAATGTAAAAATGAAAAAACTAAATGTACTGATAAATGCAAACAGGGTATACGTTAGCCTGGCTCCTTGTTTGTTCTATGTACATAATTCAATTAAAAATAACGTTGTCAATGCCTTGCAGCAAGTATATGAACATGTATAAAAAGTTGAAAAAACTGACCAATAAAATAAGTCTTAGAGGATCAAAAGAAAGGAAAAATACTAGAGCAAGCATTAAAAAAACTGAACAATAAAGTAAGTCTAAAAAAAAAACTTAAAATGCTAGAGCATGCATTAAAAATTGAGCAAAAAAAACGGGTGTCTTGGAGAATAAAGTAACCTGTATCCTCATTTTGTTACGTAATATATGTAGGCGGTGTCTGTGATGGTAATACCTTATCCCATCATTGATGGTAATATCTTATCCCATTGTGGTGGTAATACCTTATCCCATCTGGATGGAAATATCTTATCCCATCTGGATGGAAATATCTTATCCCATCTGGATGGAAATATCTTATCCCATCTGGATGGAAATATCTTATCCCATCTGGATGGAAATATCCCATCTGTGATGGTAATATCTTATCCCATCATTGATGGTACTATTATTCGCCATCTTTGATAATACAGACTTTCTCCGTCTTTGCTAAAGATAAATAACAATTAAAATTTCAACGTGTTGATGGTATACACCGCTAGCTAATCGGAATCTCATCATTTTAGAGCCATTACATCCCTGTAATTAGAATTAAAATGAAATATGATTTTATTAATTTTCTCGCTAAAATATAAATATGATTTATTTTTTTTACCTAACTGAAACAGTGCACAAGTAATAGGCTTTTAAAAGAAACAGGAAGTAGAATTGGTACCACTTACGCTTACCGGAAATCGTTCAAAAGTTGAAAAAAAGACCAAATGTGTTACAATACTTATAATATGAACTCCCGCCCTCCACATAGCACAAAACAATCTTGTACTATAGTCCTATGATTTTTTAATTAAATAAATTGTGCAAATCGCATCTTATTTTATAATAGCAATTTTTTATTTACCAATATTGTGTTACTACATTAACTACATTGCATTTTGCACATTACTATTAGTACAGGTAGTGTGATGAATTTCCAAGGTTCCCTTTTCTAACCTCACGGCCTACCGGACAAGTGAAGTAGAGTTCACCTGTTTCTGTAACCACGGCATATTAGGGGTATAGTGTGGTCAGCACTATGCCCAGCCGCCTTTACTTTCCCCAACGTGAGTTAGGTAGGTACCCAACAGAGCTGGGTGGACTCAGGTATTTCCAAAGCCTATCTATAAACTACTACTACAATTCTGCTAGAAGAACACCCCTCGACTGAATAGAATGACGGTTTAATAACCGAAATAAAATGAATAATTTAAAAGCTAGGATAAGTCACCATCAGACAGTCTTCACAAAATAAAATCACAAGTCTAGAATTCTCCGTTAACACAAAAGACAAAACGAGCATTGATATTTTTTGTGCACTTTTTATTTGTGAAGTAAAGTTTTTAAAAAAAGTAACTTTCATTTGTGCACAACACTGTATCACAAATTAAAGTATTAACAAATTAAACAAAAGTACTTACAAATGTAAACAACGTAAAGGTTATCTAATCTCCAGTATTTATTTAGATCTATATGTACATAGTCCAACGCCAATGACTTCCACTGTTATATATGTTAAACAAGAATGGTGAAAAACTGGCCAATAAACAGATATCAAAACATAATTCTTGTGTAATTACAAAAAAACTTTTACATTCCCATTTTTGTAGTACAGCCAACCTATGTTGATATTCTGAATCCCATCTTTGGTGTCTGAACCCCATCTCTGATGGTGGTTTCTGAACCCCATCTTGGATGCTGGTGTCTGAACCCCGGATGCTGGTGTCTGAACCCCGTCTTGGATGGTGGTGTATTGATATAAGACATTTCGCCGCCTTATATGAGGATAATTAACAACAAACATAACAACATTTTTTGATAGGCCTATATCCTCCAGCACTAACCACACAGACCGTGAAAAAAAATCTGCTTTACATCAGCTAAATCGTACCATTTTTTTTTAAATCGTATCTCTGTCACACATTAATTATACCCCAAGTACCTTCCACCAGAGAGTTCTTTATATTCACTTGTATCGAGGGTCTCGGCGGTTATGGTTCCTGACAAAAATGTCTGAACTAAACTATGAATTAAACCTTGAACAACACTTGTTCATAAAATAAAATTTGAAATTTAAAAAAAAACGTATTTTTTTCATACGCTACAATGAAATAAATACAACATGAAACTGTGATGAAGGGAATGTTAAAAGAAAAGTATTGGTCCACTCTTAAACACATAAACTTAAAGCAGTATGTTAATAATAATAATAATCATTAAAAAAGTTTTAAAAAACCCACGTTTTCTGATTGAACTAAAAAGTAGAAAATAAATGCTATAGGCCCTACATCACAATAATGCAAGCGATCACTCTACTATAAGCGATCAAAAACGTGGGGCGCCGAAGTAAAAGTTATATTACTATTGATTAGATAATACTATTGACTTTTATTAGGGAGCTTGTAGAGAGTCAACAGTATTAGAAACTGTAAGAAAATCACGGCGCCCCACGTTTTTGCTCGCTTATAGTAGAGTGATCGCTTGCATTATTGTGATGTAGGGCCTATAGCATTTATTTTCTACTTTTTAGTTCAATCAGAAAACGTGGGTTTTTTAAAACTTTTTTAATGATTATTATTTTCTACTTTTTAGTCTTTGTCTGTTTGTTTGCATTAAAATCTTGCTATCGATTTTATCTTTTCACTTTTTTTGGGTAAACGAAGACAACTCGTAAAAAGACAACTCGTAAAAAGACAACTCGTAAAAAGACAACTCGTAAAAAACACGTTGTTTGAATACGTTACTGACTAGAACACATAGATTTGAACCCGTGTCGAGTGGGATAGCAATCGTGTGCCCACCCACTCGACCATATCGTCTCCCCCAAACTGGCCTACCTCCTGTAAGTTTAAACTCGGTTCAAGCTAAATTCTCTGCCCCTAAGCCTGTGGCGACATGTGATCGTTCGCTTCACTGCGCGCGAGGTACGCGTCGCTGGTTTTTTTTCTAATGGCTAGCAGAGGAGAATTATATATATAGATTATATAGCGGTCTAAAATGCTCAATAAAATGTTTCCATTGATCAATTTAGTAATAATAACAATTGAATATTCAATGGTCATCCAAAAGAAAGCTTCCCTGAAAATTTCAGCGCGCTAGCTAACTGGGAAGTGCCAGAAATTTCGATCGCAAGATTTGATTGGAAAGACAAACAAACAGAGAAAGCAAGTTAAAGAAAACGTGGGAATAAAATGGGTACTGTAGGCACCAGATCATAATATTGTAAGCACACACATTAGTGATACTATAATTAGATGTGGCTAACAAGTGATTTGAACATACCACGATGTAACTTCTGTTATTATAAGATCAATTTAAAAAATAAAACCGTTCAACATATTTGCTTCTGCTAAACAAAATTCCTATTTGCTGTTTAGTAATACAATAGTAGATATAGATGGAGTTTGTCTGTGTATATTGTAGTTTAGTTTACGGTTGAATTAGATTTTGGGTTTAGGTTATGTTGAAGGATTAACGGTTCGTTTTATGGTCTGTCTTCGGGGATAAGATTAGGTTTATCTTCAGTTATAGTATTAGGTCACAGGTCCCAGTTATAGGATTAGGTCACAGGTCCCAGTTATTTTTTGGGAACCCGTTAATTCGTTTTATCTTCAGGTATAGGGTTAGGTTTATTTACAGTGATAGGATTAGGTTTATCATCGGGGATAGGATTAGGTTTATCATCGGGGATAGGATTAGGTTTATCATTGGGGATAGGATTAGGTTTATCATCGGGGATAGGATTAGGTTTATCATCGGGGATAGGATTAGGTTTATCATCGGGGATAGGATTAGGTTTATCATCGGGGATAGGATTAGGTTTATCATCGGGGATAGGATTAGGTTTATCATCGGGGATAGGATTAGGTTTATCATCGGGGATAGGATTAGGTTTATCATCGGGGATAGGATTAGGTTTATCATCGGGGATAGGATTAGGTTTATCATCGGGGATAGGATTAGGTTTATCTTCAGATGTAGGGTCAGGTTTTTTTTTACAGTGATAGGATTATGTTTATCATCGTGGAAAGGATTAGGTTTATCTTCGGGGATAGGGTTTATTTTCATGGCTAAAATTGAGGTTAAAGTTAGGTTAACTGTCTTGGCAGTGTTCAGAAAAAAAAAACAATTCGATTTGCATGTGATTTTAGAAGTAATTGCAATAACCTTAGAAGTAATTGCAATAACCTTAGAAGTAATTGCAATAACCTTAGAAGTAATTGCAATAACCTTAGAAGTAATTGCAATAACCTTAGAAGTAATTGCAGTAACCTTAGAAGTAATTGCAGTAACCTTAGAAGTAATTGCAATAACCTTAGAAGTAATTGCAGTAACCTTAGAAGTAATTGCAATAACCTTAGAAGTAATTGCAGTAGCCGTAGCACCACCCGGCGTTCTCTGCATCCTCAGACTTGAGGTGGAAAGATTCCGTCATGGCGGGGTCCATGGTGTACCCGAACGTTTTCTTTTTCCGGATGATGTTGTCGGCTAGTAGGTCAAACGCCTGGTGTACGTTAGACGCGGTCTTCGCGCTGGTTTCAATGTACTTGGCGCCAAATTTGGAGGCCAAGGATGCCGCTGAAATTAGGGATGGGGAAATATGTAAGTGTGTATAACATTGGTGGGGAAATGTGTAAAGTAGGTGTGTAAGACAATGGTGAAGAAATTTGTCAAGTATATGTGTATAACATTGGTGATAAAAGGTGTCAAGTATATGTGTATAACATTGGTGGGGAAAGGTGTCAAGTATATGTGAATAACATTGGTGATGAAATGTGTCAAGTATATGTGTATAACATTGGTGATAAAGGGTGTCAAGGATATGTGTATAACATTGGTGATGAAAGGTGTCAAGTATATGTGTATAACATTGGTGATAAAAGGTGTCAAGTATATGTGTATAACATTGGTGGGGAAAGGTGTCAAGTATATGTGTATAACATTGGTGAGGAAAGGTGTCAAGTATATGTGTATAACATTGGTGATAAAAGGTGTCAAGTATATGTGTATAACATTGGTAGAACAATAGTGAGAGAAAAACGTGTTACAATAGACCACACTAGGGCTGTGGTCCTATAGCATTACTATACTGCCTATCAACGTATACCATTGCTTGTTTATTAAATGTTTGTTACTTCCCTTATCAGGTATGAGCTCTATGGGGAGACTACTCACCAGCTTTGGCATCCACTTTCCTTTCCTCAACCAGGTCCGTTTTGTTCCCGACCAACACTTTAATGCAGTCAGTGCTACCGTGGCGGCTGGCCTCTTTGAACCACTCAGGAACCTTCTGGAAGCTCAGCTCGTCCGTGACGTCAAACACGACCATCAGCCCTTCGGCCCCGCGGTAAAAGCTGGACACGATGGCCCGAAACCTGGACAGTGGAGGGGACAAAATAAAAGAGAGGGGGGCGGGAACTATAGTTCACAGCCTAGGGTGTCCAGAACCGGGACAGAAAAATAAGACAACATTGAATCGTCAACAACCAAAGTGAAACTAACTGGAGATCGGTGATGTTAAGACGCATAACGTCTAAAATATATAAATTTATAGACGTATCCTGACACGCGGTAGTAAAAATATATAGTTTTTAAAAATTCATCCTATAAAAACTCTTCACGCGTCTACGTCAATGCAATCGATACTTAGTCATAGACGTGTAGAGATATTAATAAAAACTATGACCAATGCATATAATTACAAAATATTTTTAAAATATTGCTCTATAAGGGTAACGGATTCAAGTATATTTTTCCTTTGCAACCGTGACCTAATCAAGGTAGATAATCAACGGTAATTTACATTTTATTATTAAAAAGGGTTAATTCCCTTGTAATAAAAACTGATATGTGTTAAATATTATCTTTCCGTCATTATGTATTATACATGTTTGCGTCTGACAAACTTTGTTATCTCAATATTTTAACTCCTGTATGACTTATTTGATTATGTCTGTATTATATGGTTTTGTATGGATTATAATTGTAATAAATACCCCCCCCCCCAAAAAAAACTCTTCCCGCCCTCCCCCCGCCCCTCACCCTTTTCTTTTTAAAAATAACAATAGTTGCACGAATGTATGTCTTTTGATCGTTTTGATAATTTGTAACAAGCTGCTTGCGTCACGTTTCTGCAGAACCTTGTCAAAAGACATAACGCCTTTGCGGTGCTGACGGCATTTAAAGACACCAGGGGGGGGGGGGGCAATTGATATTTTTAAGGGGGGGGGGAGGGACTAAATTTTCCGGGAAGGCGGACACGGGTAAAAGTGTCTATTTTCTTATTTTCTATATAAATTCAATTTCGTTCAGGGGGTGGGGCGGTAGACTTTCTTCGGTGAGCAATCCCCCCCCCCTCATCCCCCACCCCCACCCCACCCCAAGAGATGCCTGGAAGAAACTCTGGAACACAAGCACTTGCCTGTCCTGCCCAGCTGTGTCCCATATCTGTAACTTGGCCAAGCAGTCGTCCCTCTCCAGGTCCTTAAATTTAAAGTCCACGCCGATAGTGTTGATGTGGGGTGTGATAAAGGTCCCGTCCACGTAGTTTAACATCAGACACGACTTCCCTACCCCCTGGTTCCCGATGATCACCACCTTAATCAGGTATTCCTCTCGCATCTTGAAATCTTGGCCCTGATCTGACTAAAAAATATGTCCCAAAATCTTTTTATCCAGGTTAACTTGCCTCAACACCTAGTATGTAAAAAAAAAACATGTTAATTTACTAAAATTATTGTCAGTCAGAGATACAACACAATGGGGGGGGGATAAAAGATAAAACAGTAAAGATTCCTTTTTATACATAGCGATCCATTGGGCAGATGAAGTGGAGTTCAATAGCTATTTGACCTCGGAAGGTGTGGTCACAGTGGCGTAGGCAGGGGGTGGAGGTGTTGGGGGGGGGGGGGGGTCATAACCCCCCCCCCATAGACCCCTCGGTAAATATATAGAGTATGAGGGGGGTGCAAATCGAAAGTTTGAGGGGGGGGGTGCAAATCGAAAGTTTGAGGGGGTGCAAATCGAAAGTTTGAGGGGGGGGGTGCAAATCGAAAGCTTGTCCCTGGGTAAAAATTGGACCCCCCCCCTTGAGACGATCCTGGCTACGCCACTATGTGGTCAGCACTTTGTCCAGCAGTCATTATATTCCCTAACATGAGTTTGGTATCCATGAGAGTACCACTAACATGAAATGGGATTCGAACTCGAGACTTTCGTGTTAGGAGTCTAGCGCTCCACGGCCGTCCCATAATGAAGTTAGATGCTAATTAACAGGGGGTAGGTAGATACTATGTAATGTGTTTTGTTGACTATTTGGCGCGAGGGTCCGTTCTGCTTGGGATACTATGGGTCAAATTGAATTATCGTTCCCTAAGTGTTTAATCCTGGGAGAAAAATCTTGTTGAATTTCTCTGCCACACACTTTTGTCTATACTACCGTCCATTATCTACAACAGGCAGGTCGCCCATCTTTACTCCCCCCCCCCCTCCCCACCACATACACACATAAGCTGAAAATATGTCATCAGTATCCTTTTAAAGACAAATATAAATGACGTCATATTTCTATACTACGACTACGTTCTTTTTTCAGTCACAATGAGATAGGGAGGGGAAGGAGGGGTGAGTTAATGTGACGTAGCATTTATATTGTATGTTATTTCATAAAGATAAGCAATACAAAAACTTAACTGTTCATGTTAATTAGAATTGTAATTATTTTAAGATTCGGGGGTTGGGGATAGCAAGCTTTGTGTAAGAAGGTCTGGCTTTTTGGTGGACAAATATCTATTTATTTAGATAAAATAAGCAGCTAGACCAATTGTAGTGAGTCCTAGCCCAATTTAAAAGTTTCGGACTAATTGATAGATAGTAGGCCTACATTTCAACAGCCTACTTTATTTTAGGCCACTAACAAATTTCTAGGGCCTATTTAGATCTAGTGCGCTAAACCATATCCAAAAGTCATAAACATTTTGGCTTCATAAACAAGATCTGTTATGGTAGGTCTGTCACTTAAAAACATTAACAAGAGTAGTCCCCCTTTAAAAAACTATCAACGAAACAAACCTAAACAATTGACTATTTCGCTACTTTGATAAACACTACACACTCATTGACACACAAGGTTGTAACTGTACATGGTCGGTTTGTTTCTAACATCTGCCACCTTGTTTAGTGTGTTAAAGTTAGAGATGTCACCCGCTGAGATAAAAATCAATACCTCGATATACAGTTGCCTACAGTATTTTAAACTGCTGCTTCTACATGCAGTGCAAACACTGTTCTAGATCGATAATAAAAGCGTAACAAACAACGGACTTATAAACTTACCTGCAATTAAATTTAAAAACCAACGAAGAATGTATTCCTTACACAAACATAAAACTAATAATAGTGACTTACTAAGGAAGACTACACGAATGTTTATAACGAACTAATCTAGGCCAACGCCATAACTTATGACACTCGAGATCTATCGGGAATTCCCTCAATGTTTTCTAGGGAATGAAAGTAATTCACAGTGAATGGATCATTGTGAATGGTCGTTTTAGCCTAGCGATCGAAAGCAGTGTTACGTGTATCTCGTCAGTACACGGCTAATTATAGTAACGAAGTCAATGTTGTGTGGAGAGTTCAGCTTGTGTTTGAGCGATGAACCTCGTGTCGTGTGGTCCTACTACGTCAGTCGTGAGGGTCAAATCAGGTTGTTACGCATTCAGGCATTTTCTGTAAGGGGAGGGGGGGGGGGATTTTAGTCAGTCACCCGTCGTCCCCCCCCCCCCCCCCCAAATAAATTTTAATAAGTGCCTCCCCCTCCCCTGGAAAAAAAATCTGAAAGTAACACTGGTAACGTAGCCTACAATAACGTCGGTACTTTTTAAATCCCACACCAAGAGCGGTTATAGTTTAGTGACAGAAAGAATGTCAGAAATTAATAGATGTATTTGTCGAGAGGTCCCCCCCCCACCCCGAAAATGACGTCACATTTCAGCCAACCCATACACCCGCCCAGTGTTTCTTCTAGACTTTTTTCTCCGGGTGGGGGGACCACTTGAACTTTTCGGGGGGGGGGGGGTAGACTTTCTTCGGGAGGGGGGGCGGACACTGTTAAAATATTAAAATATATATTTTTTATATAAATTATAAAAATTTCATTTCGTTCGGGGGGGGGGGGGGGGCGGGGTAGAAGTTTTTCGAAGGAGCTTCGCCCCCCCCCCCTCCCCGAAGAGATGCCTGGTAGAAAATCTGCACCCGCCCGTTTTATTTACAATATAAGTTTTCTGAAACAGCTGTTTTATTTTAAAATACCCATGGCGGGTTCAAAGATACGCCAGCACCTTTTTTTATTTTTGTTACAGTTTTTTATTAAATATAGGCCAAATATCTGATTGCCTTCAGTTTCCTGAATTTGCTCTCCCCTTCGTCACACATCCTCACAAGTCTTGCCCCACCACAGTAGCTTAGCGACGGGGGGGGGGGACATATGTCCAGAGTTTCTTCCAGGCATCTCTTCGGGGGGGCGAAGCCCCCCCCGAAAAATTTTTACCGCCCCCCCGAACGAAATGAAATTTATATAATTTATATAGAAAATATATACTTTTAACAGTGTCCGCCCCCCCGAAGAAAGTCTACCGCCCCCCCGAAAATTTCAAGTGCCCCCCCGGAGAAAAAAGTCTGGAAGAAACACTGCATATGTCCCCGGGCGCCGACCTTAGGGGGCGCCAAAATGGGTTTGAAAAATAAATTGAAAGGTTGAGGGGGTGCAAATTGAAAGTTTGAGGGGGGGTGCAAATCGAAATCTTGAGGGGGGGGGGCGCCGGGAAGGGTCGCTACACCTCTGCCCCACCGCCGTGTAAATGTGACATTATATGAACACCCCTAACTCCCCCTGTGTGATCTCATTGTATTAGTTTGTCTGTGGAGTTTAATCTTAACCTGACCTTGGACTCAACATGGGGAATTAGGTCATCTCCGTGTTATCGGGGTGTACTGGACTCCAGACTTAAGATGGGATATGTTATCTGTGTACTAGACAGCACAGGTAGTGTGTTGTTTTAAAGCCTGCGTCATATATCAAAGGAACTATGTGGTTAGCCGTACCATCACGTGTGTTTACTTAGTAGGCTTAGGTGTGGTGGGAGTAGATTCAATAAACGTATGTAAAACATATTCGTAAAAAATTGAGGCGAAAAGGGATGGGTGTGATTCTTTGTCTATAAATATAATAAATATATGCCACAGCACAGTAATAAAATACTATTTATAAATCCTAATTTTGGTTTTCTTATACTTGCAGTTTCTTCCTTGCATCCCCCCCCCCCCCCCCACTTCTCCGAACGAAATGAAATTTATAATGTTTATAGAAAACATATACGTACGTTTAACAGTGCACCCACCCCCACCCCCCGTAGGAACAGAGTCTGGAAGGAACACTGTTTACTTGAGTTCTCCTTTGTAAGTCAAGGCAAGTTATTCTTTTGACTAGTGCTCAGCACGATTTTATCTACGCTAGACCATAAGGAAAAAACTGAATTATTTCCCTTGGTTCTACAACAAACCACGGAGGATAATTTTATTTTTTCAGAGCAACTCGTGTTAAAACCGCAGTCGTTTCCCCTGCGCATCCCGGTTATTATCGATCGGGTGGTCTCGCACGCGCATTGCTCACGCTCGCAGTTCGGCGCTTCGCGGAGAACTCATGGCCTCGATTTGAGTCAGCATCTCCTCATTTCCGCCATCGCGATTGATTGGCATATTATGATACTAGATTTACCGAAGGAAAATGGCTGTTGGTGATCTCGATTGAAAAATGTGGCCGAACTTGTGTGTATTTCAGAGATTTTGGCTTCTGTGCAGCCCACGAGTGTGTGGATAATACAAAACGCCGACGAGAAGCAAAAACCGTCGGGCGAGAGCCGGTCGGCCGCAGTCGCTGCTACAGAGAATGGCCGATAACGGAGAACGGAGTGACAGTCCCATCAGCACTGCGCCCGACGAAGACGACTCTCAAATGGGACACGGGCACTTCTTTGTCAAGAAAACGTTCCACAAACCGACGTACTGTCACCATTGCACGGATATTCTGTGGGGACTGATCGGTGTGGGATACGTCTGCGAAGGTGAGTGTATTCTAAGCTCCTACGGCCCTAGAATTCACACTGTGTCCACCGTTTGACCAAGCAGTATTGTCAGCCAGCTCATTAATAATTATCCCGAAGCTCCCCTTGTTAATTTTAATCATATGAAAACCATTTCATGACCTGCTACTTCTGATTTTTACCAGTATCAACCTCTGGTGTACATTTAGCGTGGATTTAGTTAGATTTAGGCACGATTTGGGGTGTTTTTTTGAGGCGAGGTCGGCCGTGGAAACTGTGTTCGCCCGACTGTTGCTGAGTCTAGCCTAGCGTTAGCAGGCGAACGGCGCATAGGCCGAAAGAGTAGGGTAGGGCTAAAGACCTAAGCGTTGATTCCACGGCCGTGACATAGCGCCGTGTTGCTCAAACCAATCAATACCATTTAATTAGGGAATAATTTATCTTATCTTTAGCGTATAATTTCAAAGTGTACTTAGATCCTCCTCCCTCCCAGCCCTGGAATCCATGTTTTTTTTTTCCTCCACGCACTGCCAATCAGATCCCAGAGCAGGCAGGGGAGGGTGGCCTATGTGTCAGGATGGGTTATACAAAAAAAGATGACAGTATTTCATTGATTTTTTGGGTTATGCTGGCCAGCAGAGGATAGCCTAGTGAAGAATAGAAGTGTAGGCCCCCTGAAGGGGCACTAAACTAAGGCTCTGATTGTATAACTCAACAAGTCCAGGAACATATTCAGGTCATTTGCTTGGGAAGTTATTTCCTTTAGAAAAATTTGACTATTGATTTTCACCCAACAGACTTGCTGTCTGCTACCATAAGATGCTAGCTGCTTTTTTCAGAATGGGTTTATCAAGGAGAAACCTGCTTAGCTTATAGCCCTTATGTAGGATTTTTAAGATTTGATTCTTATCTATTTAGTATTCAGACCAAAACTTTATAAAATTAAAATTAGATCTGGGCCCTGTATGGTTACTCCCAATTGATTCTAGGCTACTTACTAGCACTTAGTATTTTTAGTATTTTTAGATTTAGTAATCAGCACACTTTCTAATAAGTATTTAATTTTGAAAAGTGGACCTGCTTTGCTATATCAATTACCCCAAAATATAAATTTTAGTTAGGTTTACACTATAAGCTTATGGTTGAAAAAGTTCACCACACCTTAGAGTTAAATTATAGGGTGTGTGATTTTAAAGTTACTAAGAATAATTATTTTAATATTGTGTGTTATGACTAACCTAAAGGGTGCCCCTGGAATTGTTTAAACTAAATATCTTCATTTTTTTCCATTTCTATATTTCCGTATGATCCTGGAGTTCATTGTCTTAATTAATCATTCCCTCATATCAATATTCTTATTATTTATGGCTTGCTGATTATGATACTTAAACTAGCTAAACCAAACATACATATTTAAAGTTATGGATGACAGTCAACAAGCCAGTTATAAAGTTGGTATGGATGGATTGACGTATTGGTGTTGCAGGTGTCTGACTCTACTGAAAAAATGTGTCATGTAGCATTAAAATATCATGCTTGGTGGTCTTAAATTAGGTTAGGGCTATGGTAGGACTTGGGTTAAGGGTAGGGTTAATTTAGATAATAGCAAGTTAAATTAGTTTTTAGTTTACTACCAATAACCTAACACATCTTTTTGAGAAGGTCTCATTAGTAATAGAAGGGCATTATCAGCCACTGATTTAACACCTATACTGGATGAGTCCAACCTTTACGTAAAAATTTGTTATATTCATTGTTGTTAGCGCTCTCTCTCTCTCGTTGCATAAAATGTAGTCAATTTCTAGACCTTTATGTTAACTAGTGGCAGCTTGCATTAGTTTTTGAAAAGCTAAAACATCATTCTGATTAACTTTTATTTTTGCATATTGAGTTACGCTTAGCCAAGCAATATAGCTCAACATATTTACTTAGAATATTTCTCTGTTAGGGCTAATGCTAATTTGTGTAACATTCATCATTTTGCTACTGAATTCCGTGGGTGAACACATGACCTAAGTTTGTAACATTACAGGGATGGTAAAATAGGTAATGTAGGTTATGTGTAATCAAATGATACCCAACTAATTAGGGTTTACAACCTACTTCTTTCATAACAAACGAAGGTAGTTGTGATTTTAAAAAAATACAACTAAAATAAAAGTCGGTTATTTACAGGAAAGTTGAGGTATATGGTGTGGTCAGGCACCTACCTAGAAGTCTTGAGTTTGGATCTTAGCCTGTATCTTTAGGATGTCACTGAGCCCACCCAGCTCTGATTGGTACCTGGCTAACATTAGGGAGGGTAGAGGTTGCTTGGCAAAGAATTTACCACATCATCCTTTCATATGCTGTGGTCACAGAGACAGATTTTACTTCATCTGCCCTACTCACCGTCAGGTCAGAAAGGGATGTATAACTACCACATAATATAATTTTTTAGCTGTCGTCCATAAATGACATCACACACTGGAGGGGGGAATGTTTAATGTAATATCCCATATTTCTTAGAAATAAGAATAGTAGAAAGTAAAACAACAGATGTTATTTTAGGGAGGGGACAGGTACGGAGTTTTTGACACTGGCTTTATTGTGACAATATGGGGATCGGTATTTTGTCTTAGGTATTATAAATAACATTCCATTATTAGAGTTTAATATTAATGGAGCTAATAAATAGACAACAGCAAAAATGTTATATTTAATTGCGGATTGAGTGACTCCACGTTGCTGTTAATTTGATTTATTTTTATAAATAGTCAGTTTTTGAGCAGTTGTATCACAGTGTTTTATCACAGTGAAAAATAATATGGCATTGTGTCACCAATTCAATGGAAAAAATATTTTAAAATTCAACTTTTGTTTAGGGTTATGAAAAGGGCTATCGTACATGAAAAGGCTAGTTTTCAGGAATCTACACTTGCTGCTGTTTGATTAATGGTCTGTGTTTCTTACAGACTTTTTAGTTAGGGTGGAGGGGGGGGGGGGGGGGCATTAGACGTCAATGTCGCCGCTGCCCCTTCCCCCGAAGAGATGCCTGAAAGAAACACTGTTAACTGTCTCTTTTCATTGGATAAGTCTTGGCACATACACCACTCACATTACATCATATCAAAGCAACAAGAAACATTTCTAGCAATAACACAGTTAAAAATTATTTTCAACAGCAAATCATTAAATGTGTAACCTTGTCTAAAAGTTATTTCACATCAGGGCTATAGTTTCCCACAAGTGTAAACACTTAACTCAGGCAGTGCAATGCTCATGTTAAGGTGGGTGAAGGGGGTGGAAAGAAAGGAATAGAAGTTTAAGAATTCTCTTACAGCTACCTGTTAGTATCTCAATATTGATTGGTGTCTCTAAATAAACCAGCTTGATCTTTCATCTAAATCCTAGCCCAAACATCAGCATTTAACTCTATTAAACTTCTGGTGTGGCTGGGCTAAAGCAACTAATAACAATCGTTTTCATGTATGAAACAAGGTCCCACAAACTGCTAAGTAGGATATAATTATGCTTTAAAAATGTTGTTTTATTAATACAGTTTGATGAAAAATCCTGTATATTTCCCCCAATCAAATGAGTATATTTCCCCCAATCAAGTGAGTTAAATTTTTTAATTCTAGCTGTTGAAAGTAATAGTGAACTGTAAATTAAATTTTCTGCAGCAGTGCTTGCATTTTGTAAATCTTGGCATCCTGGAGTTCTAAAGCAGTGTCTAAATCCCTTAAAAAATCATCATGTGCTGTCATTAGAATTAGCATCTACTAGAAGTTTTTAAATTTCTTGTTGACATTGTAAAGTTATGAATAGATTTTAGATTAAGAAACAAATGGGACCTATGAAATTATTTTATTTAGACTGATAAACATAAAAGTTCCCTTTTTGAAACCCGATGGTCAATGGTTAAGTGAAGTAGAGTTCACATGTTTCTGTGACCTTGGCAAATGAAGGGATAGTGTAATTGGCGCCATGCTTAGCTGCTTTTACTTTCCTTAACACAAGTTTGGTACCTATCAGAGCTGGATGGACTTGAACCCGTATTCAACCACTGTTGAACATAGGACACACATTACACAGTAAAATTAGCCCAAGGATATCCATGCTGTTTTAAAAATAGTAATAATGTAAGTGTGCAAACGTACAAGTAATGTTGACGCTATTGATATGATTGCCCACTTTACCTACTCTGACTGGCCACTTCACTTGCCTGTACATGCCCTGTTATTAAGAAGGTCTGATGGCTCGTTAAATAGTGTACTTAAGATACAATGGCTAACCACTTGATTGTGATAGGCCACTTTAGGATAAAGTGTTATCTAAAGAAACCTTTGTTCATTTTTTTCTCATTATTTGATCATCAGTAACTGTAACACTAACTTTTCAGATGAAAAAAACATGGTAAAGACTAATCAGCTGGCATGTCTATTATAAGTGCTGTATCACTCGATACAATTGTAATGACGAAATTCCAGAAGTGGCCAGAAGTGATTTCTTTCTTCCATCCATAACATAAAAGTATATAAAATAAAGTTTATAAAACCTAGAACTGGGGAAAAATTTACTCTCTCATTCAAGAGAGCTGCTTTTAAAAAACATTTGTCAGTAAGACACATTGTAATGCTATAAATGTAAAGTAGTTTTAAAAATCTTTTGTATGCTACATTCAACTTGATTAATTTTTTCTATCTGCTTTTAAATTTCTATTGAGCTTAGAGGTCATCCAAAAACTTCACACTTTTTAAGAACCCCCTTCCACTCATCATACATTAACGCCTCAGCCTACCCCACCCCACACTAAATTGCGATTTTGGTTTTTTATCTATATTATTGACAGAGCCGTCTGCATTTGGTATATTGTTCCATTTTTCATTATAATTTACAGAGAAAGTTTATTAAAAATGTAAATGACAGCCATAAGAGAATCGTCAGATTCTGAACGCTGGAGGTTGATAGTAGGAAAAAAAGAAATAATTTAAGTACTTTTGTTGTCAAAACAGTTAGGGTTCTTCCTTGTACTTAATTGATTCAGTTCATGCTTCAAAGTCTTCTTCTTCATTTTTAATTATTATATTGGAGGGGATTCTTGATAAGTATTGTGTCAATATGTTATGCACCATATGGCTCGTTGACTGCAATTTTAGCCTGCTTTGCTTTCTGTATTTACTTACATATCCTTTGCTAGGCAAGTTTGATTTTGGAGCTTTATCTCTCCTAGATGAATTATGTTGCTGTCCTCGACCATGTTATCTCCATGCTTTACTTTGGTCTTTTCATATGTTTTAATGGCACTTCCTTGTCACCCTCTATCTTCTATATTACCTATTATCTGATTTGATTAAATGCAAGACTACTTGACTTATATAATTCTTAGTGGGCGAAGATTGGGCTAAAAGTAACAATTTTGGCATTTTGTAATATTTAAACTTCTTAGAGGTTATCAGTAGGCTACTAACAATACTGATCAAAATGCAACACATACATTCATACTACAAATTAAATAAGTAGAATGAGCTAAAAAAAAAGTAACTAGAGTTTAATGAAGTCACAAATGGTAATTTAAATTAAAATAAATTAGAATGGATGCCTTGGATTATAATGGTGTCAACTTTTAATGTAATATTTTCCTTGCTGACATTGGTTAGGATTTTGGTATGAATAATAGTCTCACAAAGGGGGTGGGGGTGACTATACTGGGTGACACCAGATTAAATCAAATCTCATAGAGAAAACATAATAACTGCATTTTGATTGGTTGTTGCTGAAATACATCTTGAAGGTGGTGGATTGACACCATCTTTTTATCACACTTGTCAACATCCCACCAAGTAATGCCACTTAGTACAAGCTTAATTTCTCAAGGTCACTATTAAAGAAAAACTACAAATCCAACAGTTTATCAGTTTATGGCCACCTGTAAATAGAAAGACTAAAGAACAGACATGATTTTATCTCAGTAATAATTGGAGCAAAAAGTCACAAACTTGCTCATGACACCTTTTTATTTTCTTTCATAATATATTGTATTGATAAGTGACTTGAGAAAAAGGGTTGCTGGTGTGTAGCCAATATTCTGGGGTAGTCACTTAAACGTTGATCTATTAAAATATATACATTATTGTATATATTATTGATACCAATTTATAAAACTCACAATATTCAAAATTCAAATTCAGCTTGAACATTTTGAATTTCACTTTTGGGCAAAGAACAAAGAGTGTGAGTAGCTCCTTTACAACTATTAGAATATTATGAGCAACACCCCAAGCAGTTGTTTTTAATTTAAACTAACAGATCAAATTAAGGATGTAGGGCACTTGTGGCAACTTCCCCTTTGACTTTTAGCCCCACTTTCCCCTACATTGTCATCAGGTTTTACATATTCTGGGTTAATTTATTTTCTTACCTAGATTTGAATCCTGAATGATGCTGATACTTTTATTTATTAGAATTCTTTTCAATAAAGGCTTTTAGAACAAAAACTTGAAGTTTTAGTGTTACATATAACTTTATATTTATGTGAAGAAACTAAATGCTATTTTTTTTTAAATAGAAAGGCTACTGGTGTGTAGAGAACCTTTATATATTTTTAGCACTGAATAAATGAATAAGCAGAGTTATAGGTCTGGGTTAATGGCACTGATGCATCTTAAACCACAGCCTTAAAAACTGCCTGCTAACATATTTATGGGTAGGCATCATGAAAATGTTCTCAACAACTGTTTATTTATCTACCAACTTGCCTGAATACAGTTGTGGGCCTCAGAGGTAAACAATATTGCACAAAATCATTTGTTTTTGGTAATAATAAATCAAGATCAGCAATAATTAGATGCATATAGATGCAGTTTCAGCAGCAGAATAAAGGTACAATGTGTTTTAAGTGGTAACTTAAGACTTCTGCAGATAAACCCAATTGTAATATTATATATATTGTTGTGAGCTATGTAAACAAATTTGAATCAGTTTACATTATTAAATTCTTAACAGACACCAGTTTAAAAATAAAATAAAATTGTAGTTTAGATTTTAGAAAAACACCTGGCAGCATTTTTACTATGGCCAATGTTCTACCTTAGACTCTGTTCATATTTCATACTCCATCACATGGTTCAAGATATAAACTGTTCTGTGTAATGTAAGTGATATAAATATATCTCTAGCATGGCTAGTTGATTTACCAATACTCATACTGTTCAATATACGTGATGTAAAAATATGAAGAGCATGGCTAATTGACCAACCATGAGTGATACTGTACAACATAAATATTGTTCAAATATTTGGAGCCTAGCTAGTTCATCTACCACTAGCTAAACTGTTTGAAATATAAGTGATGTAAAAATATGTGGAGCATGGCTAATTGACCAATGACACAATGTTTCATGGAAAATGCCTGGAAACAAGAAAAAGTCCTAAATTTACCCTATCAACATGAGCACGCATGTCTTGAAATTAAAACCTTCAGTATGATTAAAAAAACAAATTTTCACTCCCTTTTGTCAGTTTGACCACCATCACCAAAGTTAAATTTATCTGACCCAATCACAGTTTGACAATTATACAAAGTTGAGTATTTTTAGTTGGATCAAAATAATGGCGCCACTGCTGCTAATTAAACAATGTGTGTCGGTACCCTTTGCAATGATTGACAAGAGTGACATTTGGCATTAGGTGTTATTTTCTGCATCACCCTAAGGTCATGTTTTCCATCACAACTATAACTAATGATAGAGCACCAGTCAGTGGTTTATAGAACAAACAGTTTATCACTTATCTTTTAAAATTATATAGGCTGTAATTACTGTAATTCTATTTCATGTAGTCATCTCACAATAGGTTCATACTACCCTCTTAAATACTGAAATCTGCTTGCAAAATGATTATGGTCTTGCTGATGTTTTAGTCACTGACTAAAAATTTCATGATTGAGAATTTTCTCTGATATTCATGGAAAACTTTCAAACCTTATTTGACATGTCTTTTTTTAATGTTTGAAAGATATAAAAAAAAAACAGTTTTGTACTTATTAATCTTTTTGTTTGTTTATAATCTCAATTTGGTGTTACCAAAAATTACATTTTCTTGTTTCTAGAAAAAGTAAATCCCATCTAATGTAACAATTTATTTGATTTGACTTTTCATTTAAACCATTGTGTCTATCATATTATGTTTATTGGATTGTTATTCATATAGAAACTTTCAATAAGAAAAAAGCGCCATTTAAGCCATCCAATAAGTCCCATCAGCCACCATGAATCCAGCTCTGCAGCTGCTGGTTGCAAGATTCTTAATGTACAATATTTCAGTTTGAAATGTTTGAGGTTTTTTTTAATTGTAAGTAATCTTATGACAACTGAATGCAAGGTTTTTCTTTATGAGGTTTGCTGTTTTAAGTTATCATTAACTACTGCAATATTGATCATCAATAAGAATCACAGCTTGGAAAATAGTGTGCAAATTATGATCAAATGCATATAAATTCTAAATAGAAATCCTACATATTATATTTTAGATTATAGGTTTCAGGATTCCTTAATGTGAACTTCTAATATTAAACATAAACCTACATGTTAAGCTAGAAAGGAGGAGCAAATAGATTAATTGAAATTTTTTTAAAAAAATTGCTGCTTTTATTGAAAGTTGTATATTACAACACGTTCACACCCTGGTAAATTCATATCCATTAAGATACAATCTTTAATTAAGCAATTACAACATAGCAGCAGTTATCTTAATATTGTTGACTTCATTCTTTTAAAAGTTACCTACTTTCCTCTGAATACCTGTAGTATTGAACAGCTTTTAAGGCAAATACAATCTAGCTACCTACAAAGTATTTTTTAATTAAATCATTATTTTCTTTAGTCTATCATTATGCTGGAGCTCTCATAAAAAAAATCAACCCGCTCTACATTCTTGGTAAAAATTTTAGTTCAATAGATGATGAGTATCAATTATCCAATTATATTGAAATATTGTATGTAAAATTGTCATATAATTGAGATATGTCTTACTGTCTTTTATTAGAAAGCATCATTTTGATAGGTACCATAAGTGAGTGTTTTAAACTGCATCCTTTTACCCTAAACCTGATCAACTAATCTTGAACTGATATTTGGCTATGCAAGTGTCTATCCACATTCTTTTTTCATCAGATGAATTTTTAAGTGTGATGAATTCTAAAATTTCAGTCTTTTGCCATTATTTTTTTTTAAATTTACATGAAGGAAAATTTTCAAGACTTCAAACATCCTCCCAACTATTTTGATTTCTCTTATATTCTAAATGTATTTTCTTATATTTTTCAGTGTGTAATTTTGTTGTCCATGACCGCTGTATGAAAACAGTGGTTTCCCCTTGCTCTAGCATTGCGACCAGTCTTATCAAAGTAAGTGTTTGTTTATTATTACTGTAGTATTTTTATTTCATTACATTTCACCTCATTCCTACTCAAATGAAATGTATTTAGAGACTTGCTATTTTTTTAAAGACTTGCTGTTTTTATAGAGACTTGCTATTTTTACACAAAATAATGAGTTTCATGACAAGGAGTAATCTAAATCACTTTCAAAAAATAAACTTTTATATTTTAGATATAGGTAATTGTATTTAAACAATAGCTTAAAATTGCACTAGAATAGAGGGTAGGTAGCACTAAATAGCACTTAGAGCTAACTCAATTTGTTGGTTTTTTATTGATAAACATAGCAAATCCACATTTTAAAAAATCCAGCACCATTTTAAAACATATAAATGCTTAATTCATGTCTAGTTTAATGTTAACTAAATGTTTGACCAGTTCTTTTGAAATCTTTTAATTTGTTTAAACTATATGGATATCTGCACTTTAACATATGCCTTTCAAAAATTCTGGCAGCACATCTAGAAGAAGCCTTTTTAAACCCATAGTATAAAAATGACAAAATTAGTGCTATTCCTGTTACAAAACTTTTAACTCATTAATGGCAGCCAAGACAGCAACCAAGCTTTTCTCATGGTGCATTTTTATTTTGATCTTTTGAAACTATTATTTCTGATTACCAAAATGTTATAAGATAATCAAATAGCATTGTTTCATGACACTTAAAAACCTAAACCTTCATTACCTGTCCCATAAACTAAATTTTATAGAGATAGGCTTTCTTATGTAAGCCCTGACAGGGGGGGGGGGTTCTAAAACCTAACTGTAACATGCCTAATTCTACCCCCAAGGCTAATCATCAATCGGGCGTCAATGCAACTGTGTCAACACCCACGGTGGTTAAACCCTAATCTTAATCTAGATACAAAAAATATAAAAAATAAATAAGCTTATCAATTTTATTTATATTAAAAACTGGGACCATCAATTTAAAAAAAAAAGCTTTGTCTTAAATTCAAACATACTAGATCTACAGCTATAAAACAAAATAAACTATCTTAACAAACACAGCAAACATACTAGTCAAACAAACAAACAAATAAACAAAACATATTACACAAACACAACAAACACTAAACAAACATCTAATCAAACACAACTAACACCCAGCCAAGTTGCAAATACAACCGCAGACACAACCTCCATTCTCGACTGGGATAAAAAAAGAACGACCCAAGCGGTCACTTGGCCTTATATACCTGTTGGCCAAAAGTCACATAGCTGCAGTCCAATTTGATGTTCGCATACAGATTCCCATGCAATAAAATACTAATAAAATAAATAAACTATTCACCGCTCACACTTAGATGTCTCAATATGGAAATAGCCATGTTTAACACAGCAAAACAACCTAGTTTTAAATGTTTAAAATGCTCATTTATAATAAAACTACAAGACATGATTTTTTTCACATGGGGGGGGGGGGGGGGGCACTGGTAAAAGTATATATTTTCAATATAAATTCTATTTTGTTCGGAGGGGGCGGGATGGTAGATGTGCTTTGGGAAAATCGTACTCGCCTGAAGAGATGCCTGAAATTTCCATAATTTTTTTTTTCTTGATGCTGTAGCTCTTCAGTATTTCTTTTTACAATTTTTAGGTGTTTATTTCTCACCAAATGTGTTTTCTAATCTCTATTACTTTTGCTTTTTACCAGAAGCCCTTTCTATGTCAAAGTACCTCCTTTCTACTTACATTATTACAACAATTATTAAGTTGTGCTTTATTTCATTGCAATCTAATTGTGTTTTATTTCATTGCAATTTAAATCTTTCAGAACCCTGTGGCCCATTGTTGGTCAGAACCAAGCCATTTTAAAAGAAAATTCTGTAATGTCTGCAGAAAAAGACTAGAGGACAGTCTTGCCATCCGCTGTGAAAGTAGGTTTTTTTAATCGATTATTTTAACAAAACTTAGATCTTCAGTGGATCACTTCCATAGAAACATTATACCCTTATTAAAACAATCTACTTCACATGCACTCTATAAAACAGTCTACTTTATATGACCTCTATGGAAGGTCTACTTTACTTCTAACATCTTAGAAACTCTATAAAACAGTCTACTTTATATGACCTCTATGGAAGGTCTACTTTACTTCTAACATCTTAGAAACTCTATAAAACAGTCTACTTTATATGACCTCTATGGAAGGTCTTCTTAACTTCTAACATCCTATATAAAAGTCTACTTCTGTTGTCTCCTCTAGTGTAAGACGGTATTGTTCTATTTGTAGGCTACAAAAATATGTTGATCCATAAAGAGTGGATGAATACAATAGTTAATGCTTAAATATTCAATCTAACATGAACAAAATTGTTCTCACTATGTAGCATAACTGATCATTAGGTAGGTCTAGAAGGCAAGAATACATTTTATCTGTAGTATACTACATAGACAACAGAAAGACAGTGTGGTTACACAAAGCTAGGGTTTGGAGGAGCAGTTAGTGATGATGACCATTTACAAAAGCTAAAATAACTAAAGAAAAAATGTTCTAAAATAATGATATGGAAGGCAAAATTTTTCACCTTGATCAATAGATATTGTTTTTCATTGCTGGATCATCTGTTTCAGAGAGAGAGGAACTGAAAATATTATTGTTAACCAAATTAGAAGTAAACTTTCTTAATTGAGGAGTCTTATGTTAAACTTTACCTGTTTAATGGTCTCATTAGTGCTATTTTAAAAATAAATCAATTTTCAAATCATAATGTACACAAACATGCCCACATATCTTCTTGATCCAACTTATGAAGAAATTAGCTTGTCATGAAGCACTAAATTGGAACATATATCCTCCCATGCAGAGTTTCTTCCAGGCATCTCTTCGGGGGGGCGAAGCCCCCCCGAAAATTTTTTACCGCCCCCCCCCCGAACGAAATGAAATTTATATAATTTATATAGAAAATATATACTTTTAACAGTGTCCGCCCCCCCGAAGAAAGTTTACCGCCCCCCCGAAGATTTCAAGTGCCCCCCCGGAGAAAAAAGTCTGGAAGAAACACTGCTCCCATGCCCCTTAAAATAGAACTAACTTACAATTTACTATGCTTAAAAAAAAATGTATTGTAATATTTGTGACAATGGTTGCAGATAGTAAATTATGCATGTTTTCTGCAGTATGTGAATATTATGCACACCTTGACTGTCAAGATTTTGTGGTGAGTGACTGCATGGAGTGTGCTACCTACTTCCCTCAAAGAGATCGGGTAAGTTTTCTTAGGGTTGATATGTATTTTGTGGTTTTTATTTTTGTGGTGTTTAATTTTTTTTTGTGGTGTTTAATTTTTCTTCCCAACATTTTCAAGGATGTTTGTGTGCTGTGCTTATTCTGTTAAATTGTCATTTTTATTTTTTTATTATAATTGTTTTTTAACATTGTCGTATTGATTTTTAATTTTTGAAATGGTTTACATTGAACAAAATCTAGCACAATAAAAATTGTTCTGAACAGCATTTTGTTTGTAAATTATCACTTATATACTGTCTTACACACACTATAACAAGAATACATTTTTTTTACTGACCATTATGATTAACCTGGAAGTAAAACATAAAATTAGAAGACAAAGTGCACACCTAATGTTACTCATTAAATGAACCTATTTTCTTTTTTATGTTGCTTTGTTTGGTTTTTCTATTGTCATATATTCTGACACAAAAACCTTTGGTTGAAAAATCTTATTTTTGTTTTGTTACTATATATCTTTTGATGAATTTGTTATTATTGCTTTTAACTAAAGAGTAAAAAAAAAATGTAGCTACATAAAATTTGATAAATGTGAATTAATTCAGAGTGTAAACTGTAGGGTATAGTCCCAGTACTGACTCACTGATTGTTTTCTCTGCTCAGAATGTCATTCATTATCACCACTGGAGAGAAGGTAACCTCCCTCCTAACTCCAAGTGTGTTTCATGCAAAAAGACTTGCTGGTCATCTGAGTGTCTGGCTGGGATGAGATGTGAATGGTGTGGAGTTACGGTAAGCCTTCTATTCTTTGATTCTAAATTCATGTTGGTAGCCTTCTGTATGTGTCTGGCTAGTGGTGAGATGTGAATGGTGTGGAGTTACGGTAAGCCTTCTATACTTTGATTCTAAATTCATGTTTGTAGCCTTCTGTATGTGTCTGACTAGGGGTGAGATGTGAATGGTGTGGAGTTACGGTAAGCCTTCTATACTTTGATTCTAAATTCATGTTGGTAGCCTTCTGTATGTGTCTGGCTAGGGGTGAGATGTGAATGGTGTGGAGTTACGGTAAGCCTTCTATACTTTGATTCTAAATTCATGTTAGTAGCCTTCTGTATGTGTCTGGCTAGGGGTGAGATGTGAATGGTGTGGAGTTACGGTAAGCCTTCTATACTTTGATTCTAAATTCATGTCGGTAGCCTTCTACATTTTAATTTCAAATTATTGTTTGAACATTTTGATCAGTGGGGTATTGTGGTTAGATATGAGCTGAGTGTTTATTGTAAATTCAGATTTAGAATTAAGTCAGTCTAATAACTAGTGATGGTTAATCCATTTTTTGTTAGGACTTTTTTTTAATGATTAAAATTGAATAATCTAAAACAAGAACTAAAACAAGTTTTGTTTTGCTAATTAGATGAGTAGCAGACATGCCTACTTTTCCTGCTCTTTGCTAAATTGTTCAACAGAATTAAAATTTGTCATTTGTAACAGTTTGTCCCTCTAAATCAAAACAGTCTAAAATTTTAAATAATCCATTACCTATGTTTATGCAAACTGCCAGCTCCAGAGATTGGGAAACCTAAGCTCTTAAGTTTAAAAAAAACATATGCAGTATCATTTTTTTTATATAAAACAAGGAATAAGGAACTAAACAAATGTTAATTATGGCATTTGAAAAGAAAATATGGTGGAAAGTATCATCTTTCCAACACTAGATATAGTTATGAATCAGTGACCTGTCTCAATCATTGTATAGGATAGGGCTCACTGGTTAATAGGCCTACTGGTCTAGGAGTCCTACACAGCAGTTCAGAAACATGAGACTATTAAAGCAAATGAAATAATTAAATCAGTTGATGATGTTTTAATTAATAGTAATGTTAAATTATGCAAGAACTTTTTACAAGCAGATGTTAACTAAGATGTCTTCAAAATGTTCTATGAAGTTCACAAGGAAAGAAGGAGGCTACGTGGTTGTTTTTTATGTAGTTCTAAATTTTTACAAAATAATAGAGGCTTACATATACTCAAGTGTTTGCATACATCTTTAATTAATTTTATTTTGTTTTTTGTTCTGATCAGTACATCTTATTTAAAAATTACATAATAATAGAAATTGCAAAAGTGCTGTTGCTTTATCTACATACTTATTTTGAAGCATTATTATGTGAGCATGATGCTAATTTTACTTATACAGTTTGGTTAAAGGACATGCTAGGGTTGTAGGTTACCTTATTGTAACAGAAATATATTGTGGTGGAAAAGACAATGGAAAAAAATCCATAGAGAAAAGCAGGCTGAAGTCAGGGCCTCAAAGTGCATAACATGTTGACTCTTAATATTTAACTGTGTTGTAGGAAACCCCCTCTTTATTCAAAACAGCGAACTCATCTTCCTAATAGGAAGTGATATTTTGAAAGATTTCACTTAATTTAATTGAAAATAGAAGCTTTATAAAGTTCATTCCTACACAAGAAGCAAACAACCATCTTGGTTAATTATTGCACCTTGGCTTTTAAATTGGACATCATTCAGATTTATCTCAACCTTATGTTTTAGATATGCTAAATTAAAGTTTTAGAGAATAGTGACAATTTAGTTCTAAATGAATGACCTTCTTGATGCATAAAATAAATGAATAGTATTTTTCACCTAACATAATCTGCTAATCCTATTTTAAATATGATATCTGTTTTTATTTTTCAATAATAGCAAATTGTATAGAAGGTAAACCAAGGATATTGACGATCCATTTTGTATTTGTAGGCTCACGCAACTTGTTACCGCTCTCTACCAGTGGAGTGTAAGTTTGGAAGTCTGCGAGAGATTCTCCTACCATCCTCTTGTTTGACCATCCCTCGGCTTGAAGTTCCCATGGAAACTATTCTAGGCATTAGCCGAAAGTCAAGTAATTTGTTTTTAAACATACATATTACATTTTACTTTGTTAAAAATTTACTGGTCTCATTTAATGTTTTAATTTTTTTTCTAAACATGTTTAGGTGTTCACAAAAAATTGAATTTTAGATTAGCTTTAACATAATGTTAGTTTTAGACGAGAAATTGTATATGGAATTAAGGCTCACAGTCTGTGTCTTACAAGAAATTTATTGTATTATTTAAATTTGTTAAAATGCTTTAAAATATGAAACTTTATTATGAAACAATCAAAACTAAAATCATGTTTTTGTTTTTTTCTATCTACCCTGCTGTGCTACATAACAGCATTTCCAGGTTAGTATTTATTCAGATAACAAAACCTTTCTTTAACTAATATGTTGATAAAAATATTAATTTAAGCTGAATATTTTATTGCATCATACTAACTAGTGTGTGTTTCTACTAAATAATTTCTTTATTTTTAATTAAGTAATACAGTTATATCAAAACAAATTTCATACTGAGGGGTTAGTTGCAGAAAAGAATGATCCCCTTTGATGCAGGAATACATATTTTCTTGAATCTGTTTTGAAGCTCGCACAGTTTCAGAGGAGTGGTCATCAAGTGGTGACTCCAAGACAGAAGATGAAGAAAGAGAAAGACGATCCCCTAGAGAGAAAGATGGAAGAGACAAAGATAAAGAAGATTGTGAGTGATTTACCTCAGCAAACTAGAGTAATAATTACCCAAGTTTAGTCTCATTTTTCGCTTCACATGAACTAAACAAATATAATGCATTCACTAAATTAACATTTTTAAAGGTGAGATAATCAGAGTGTTTGATGGCAATGCCTCCCTAAAGAAGCGCCTGTACCGCACAATAGCTGTACCAAGGAATGCAACTGTACAGGCTATTCTGGTGAGCTTACATTTTTCTTCAAGTCATTGTCCTTAATATTTTTGTTGATTTTGGTTTTAGATTTCTTTTCAAGTCAATGTCTTTGTTTTTGTGTATTCTGAAATAAGTGCAACAAATTAACTTTATTGGACTTTAACATATTTTATCGGACCATAATATTCTATGTTTTACCATTAAACATTATCAGTCATCCATCATTGTTGTTGGAAATAGTTGGTAGTAAAAGGTACTATAATATATATTTGGGTTTTATTATAAATTAAATGAAACATACTAAACACAAGTTTTATCATCTTATTCCGTTCGTGCCAAAGACATTTGGGGCAGATGAAGTAGAGCTCTTCTGTTTCAATGACCTCTTCATACAAGGTGATAGTGTGGTCACCATTATGCCCAGCTGCCTTTATTTCCCTAACATGAGTCAGGTACCCATCAGAGCTGGGTGGACTCAGGGACTCCTGCAGAAGTCAGGATCTGAACTCGAGACTCTTGGGTTAGCAGTCTAGTGCTCTGCCTCTAGGTCATGACGTCCTTCAAACACTAGTTTAGTGTAAGATAAATACAAAACACTTAATATAAAGATTATCTAGCAGATAAAATTAATATAAAATAGAAGAGGTATTAAGCTAAAAAAAATCTGATATTTGGTTGTTACTGGAAATCCTACAGCTCTTTAACTACCCAACCCTGCAGCAGGTCCACCCCTAATTAACACCAAATTATCCCTTGCTTGATCCCACCTCCTCACTCTAGTTACTGCATATCTCACATGTCCTCATACAGAGTACAGGTGCTGCACTTACTTTGTGAATACAGTAACCCTATTACTTTGCCACTATTAAACAGAGCAGCTAATAATTAAATATTTAAAAATTGAATGCAAATTAGGTAGGGGGCTTAACATTAATGAACTTAGGACGATTTAGTTTACAACTATAAAAAAAATGCTTTAAAGTTTAAAAAAATAGAAACAATGGAGATGTATCCATTTTAAAACAACTCATAGTGTAACCAAAGCTACTATGCTAAGCAATAAAGCATTGCAGCACTGAGGGGTTAATATGTGGAATTATTTTTACCCTTTCAACAGGAGGCAGCTCTTAAAACATTCCACATATCAGATGATCCCAAAAACTATTACGTTACAGAAGCCTCGGAGTCCAGTTTAGGTAAGAGTACGTATTATTTTTTTTCTTATTTATTTGTTGTGTTGTGAAGTAAGATATTCCCTCGCCTATAAAAAAATTCATTTTTGTTAGCACCATAATGTAGAAAGGCTGCCAATGGGGAAATCATCACCATTGTGCAAAATTTGCATATATTTGTTCTTAGTCTTTTTGTGACAAATGCTGAGTAACTCTTAATAAAATGCCCTTTAGTCGCTTATTTGTTACTAAGTAGCTTTATTTCTCACAGATTTATGCTTGTAGGTATATTATTGCTACATTAATATACACACTTAATTTTTTAAAAATCAATACTTTAATAATGTTGATGTTGTGTAGAGCTGATTTTCATTAGATAACACTGGTTTTGTTCTTAAAATCGGCACTTTATGAGAGTGTGTCAGTGTCTATAAATAGATTTTAACCTTAGATTAAGTCAACAAAAAAGTACACGATTGTTAACAGATCAATTCTTCTGGGGATTTGATTTCTTTTTTTTTAATTTGAAACTTTTTAAAAATAACACTGACTGTTAGTTCTTTTTTGTTTACTGCTCAGATAGAATTCAACACCTGTATTTAAAAAAAAATATTCATCCCTAAAGTCTCTAGATAGAAATTTTACTTAACAAAACTTTTGCAAATTTTTGCACAGTGGTGGCGAAATCTTCATATATACGGAACTCCGGACATGGGAAAATTTCATCCCAAGCTATTTGTGGTAAGAGGAAACTGTACATATGTGTCAGAAGCAGTTTTGAACTTTAGCAGTAGCAAACTTTTTTTGTCTGCCATAAGCCTACATTGTTTATCTTTAAAATCAAATTCCAGAAGATAAATTATAGAATAGTGCTGTATTTTTTCTGGGAAATTTAAAATAAAGATGAATTTTATTTTTTTTAACATCTACCAGTCAGTGTTAATGTTTTAATTTACAAGATTTCTGAACCTTAATAGTTTTTATATTTTGAAAATGTAGGCTATACTATTGAAAATATAATTTAAAATTTCAGTTCTGTTGATTTTTTTATATTTTTAAAATGGCATTTCAATCAAAATCTTTGCAGTAAATTAAACTATTGATATCATTCTTATGAGATAGTGAGACCTACAAGTTTTGGTTAAAATACACTTTTAAAAAAGATAGTTATATTTATACATAAATTTCATTGAGTAAAAATTACCTCATAAATATTAAAACGATTCCAAAAAATTTCAGTTCATAGTTAATTTGTGTACGTTGTGATTTGTTTGTAACTAAAAATGTAAAATGTAAAAACTGTTAAATTCTACTTAAATACACTATTTATATATATATATATGCTTATATGGCTGTATGTGTGTACTTATGTATAGGCTTTTGTAACAATTTATACTGATCAGCAACAAGACTTGAAGTGCTTAAGTAATTTATTTATAGCTACGAATTTACTTATGTAATAGCTAGAGGATTGCATTTTCCTTTTGTAGAGTGTTTAAAATTGTTTCAGTTTTATTAGGAAAAGTTTTGTTTCGTTCCAGGAGAAAGGGAATTGGAAGAAAACATGCCAGTTAGGTCACAATTAAAAACACCTGATGGCAAACGGCCTTCCATATTCTTAAGGTACAAGGAGAAAAAGGACAGCGCAGTTATTCGGGTGTACCCAGGAGGACTAAGGTGTGTATTTTTCGTGCATCGAACTGCCATTTGCACCTCCATGAAGTTGTTAAAGATTCTATAATTTTTAAGCATGGTGAATTTTGTTATTGAATAGAATGTAAAGTTTTTTGGTTGTTTGTATTTCAATAGAGTAAGCTGTGGTTTCAAGAGCATTTCTGTGAATAAAGACACAACTACAGAAGAGGTCATTAAAATTTCTCTCAGAAAGTTTGGAGTTGAGGTATGCAGTAGTATAATTTTTAATGATGTTTCTTTTCAAGTTAAAATAAATTACTTTACCATTATTAAACACTACATTTCAAATACTACTTAAATAAGGAAGAAATTATACTTCTAATTCATTCAATGCACTAATTACATTCTAATACATTTTAGGAACAAATAATATTTTTCAGATTTATTTACTTAAAAAATAAAAATTGTCATAATATGATATTCTAAATTAATTATTTGATTGAAATTGTAATTGGATTTAAAATATATCCTAGGATAAGGATCCAGAAAGCTTTGAACTAATTGAGGTGTTGTTAGACAAAGGAGTAACAGAGAGAAAAGTGGATCGCAATGCCAAGCCATTTCACATAATGGTGCAGAGTAGAAGGGTGGGTTTCAGTTATTTTAGCTTAGGTTTCTCAATTTAAAAGTGTTAAATATGTAAGTTTAAAGGTTATTATAATAATCTTCTCTCCTGTAGTTAAGGTTGTTCAGTGTGGTGACAACCTGACAATCTCTGTTCAAATCAAATTTGTTTTTCATCTATTTGTCAGATTATCATACTAACCAATCATTATTAATCATGCCTATATTGCATCTGTAACAGTGCTTCTCCATAGCTTGGGTTTTATTTTCCAAGAACACACTCATATAGAAATGTGGCCATGACTATTAAATAGATCAGTCTGATTTTTTGTGTGTAGGGTTAAGTTTTTATCTTTCAATATAATCCAAAATCTTGTAAGTGCCACAGTGGTCTGTGTAATTTTGGCGAGCTGTTTAGGCTTCAAGCCTTTGTCCGAGACTATTTAAAGTTTTTCACAATTTTATGCTTCTGGTTATCTAGGCTGATGTTGATAACGAACCCATTAGTTGTTATTAGTCATCAAGTGAGTTTTTCCTCATTGATCTTCATCCCTCATTCTGTTGATGTTTTGTCAAAGCATTTTACTAGGTTCATCAGTGTATCTTCTATTCCAGTTAAGCCATAAGTTATGTTTGCTAGCAATTGTTGAAGGATGATTACCAATCTATTATAAAAGTAGCCCTAATAAATTTATTTGTTTGTTAAATTTGTTAAATTTTAAGTGCGTTGTTATATGTGAATATATAAAAATAGGCTTATAAATCTAAATATTATATATATTATGTAGAAATAGAATATTTGATAATTTTGTTCAGCAGTGCTAATGATATTCCCTTGTATTTCAGGAGTCACTCCGTCAGAATCGAATGACAAGGTTTTACTTGCAACAGAAGGAAGATCCACATGGTCCAAGCATATCTCTTTATGTTGGCAACTTGCCAACTGGTTTATCACAGCGACAGTATGAGAAGATTCTAGTAGACATTATAGGAAGAGGTGAAATATTTTACTGCTCTAATTTTTTTACAAAAAAAAAACAAAATGTATATCAATTGGTTTTTTGTTTGTATAAAATATATTTGTTAAAAGAAAATTAACTAAATATTGTGTGTTTTCAGATAACAAATGGGAAAGATTTGATGGTATATATTATGAATATGGCTCCCTGGTTCTCATATACACCATACCTGAGGTGGCCACTACAGTATTTAATATACTACAGGAGTCTACATTTGATGATAAGCAAATTTTGGCTTTGCTGCTACCTAATATACAAGTATGTTGCATCTGCAATAATTTTGTGGTTTTTTTTATAGAAGATCCCTTTTTAGACCTAGCGATCCATTGGGTAAATAAAGTAGAGTTCAAATGTTTTTTGACCTCAGCATATTAAGGGATAGTGTGGTTAACACTATGCCCAGCCACTTTTACTTCCCTAACATTAGTTAGGTATCCATCAGAGCTGGGTATTTATTAATGTATCAGGAGTTATGGAGTAAAATTAGTTCATTCATTTAAGTTTGAGATTAAGTTAAAGTATTGTTATTGTTAATCCAGGCTATTTGAATATTAGTGTCTGGGTAATCAACAATTTCCATTTTATTTAAACATTTACTTTAAAGATAATACATTTAAATTAATTGCTGAAACACAAAGAACTATTAAGCAGATATTTTCCATATTACCAAATGCTTACTTGAGATACAAACACAGAACACCTTATCAGATTTGGTGCTTTAATATTGTTTTCACATAATTCCTTTAAAAGCAAGAAGACTAGTTTAGATTTAATGAATGAATTTTTTCTTTCAGCCCCACATGATTCCAGAGTATGTGAAACCCTTGATGGTGTTTGTCAATGTGAAAAGTGGGGGGTGTCAGGGACTGGAGCTCATTACCTCTTTCAGGAAACTGCTCAATCCTCATCAGGTGTTCAATCTGGAGAATGGAGGACCACTACCCGGGTAGGTGACATAACAGAAGATGACATAACAGAAGGTGACTTAACAGAAGGTGACATAACAGAAGGTGACATAACAGAAGGTGACATAACAGAAGATGACATAACAGAAGGTGACATAACAGTAGGTGACATAACAGAAGGTGACATAACAGAAGGTGACATAACAGAAGGTGACATAACAGAAGGTGACATAACAGTAGGTGACTTAACAGAAGGTGACATCACAGACTGCTTGACTACAGTTTCTACGGCTATAGATGTGTGCTTGACTACAGTATGTACGACTATAGTTGTGTGCTTGACTACAGTATGTACGGCTATAGTTGTGTGCTTGAATACAGTTTGTATGGCTATAGCTGTGTGCTTGACTACAGTATGTACGACTATAGTTGTGTGCTTGAATACAGTTTGTACGGCTATAGTTGTGTGCTTGACTACAGTTTGTACGGCTATAGCTGTGTGCTTTACTTCAGTATGTACGGCTATAGTTGTGTGCTTTACTACAATAAGTTAGGCGATAGATATGTATTGTACTACAATAAGTAAGGAAATAGTTGTGTGCTTTAATAGTGTAATTATGGTAATAATAGCATGATATGTATTAATCATGAGCTTTATTATTACATATAGATTATCATGTTTTGTATAGGTATTGAAATAAAGGAAATACAGTTCAATTATTTCAACCTTTTATATTTTATTTTTGCAGGTTGTATGTGTTCCGGAACATCCCATACTACAAAATTCTTGTGTGTGGTGGGGATGGAACTGTAGGGTGGGTACTCTCCTGCCTGGATAATGTGGGTCAAGATGCAGAATGTCAGTCACCACCTATGGCCATCGTTCCATTAGGCACAGGTGAGTCAAAAATAAAATCTCCTCCTCCTTTACTAAAAAAAAATATTAGAGTTTGTGTTGTAATGGTCAACTATAAGGATTGTTTCAGCAATTTCTGTTAAATGGAAATAATTTAATTTAGTGTCTATAATGTTTGTTTCTGACCAAGAAATTTTAAAATATTTTAGGCAATGATTTAGCAAGAGTTTTACGATGGGGCCCAGGCTATACTGGAGGTGAAGATCCTCTCAATGTTCTACGAGATGTTATCGATGCTGAGGAGATCAAACTAGACAGGTGAGAGGACTTACATTAAATAAATTTGATAATTCATAACTCTAATCTTAACTTTGTCTAACTTGCTGTAACCCTAACATTTTATGCTACAGGTGGACTGTAATCTTCCACCCCAATGAGAAAGAACAGTCAGAAACAAAGGTTGCCATAGCCAACGACACCAACAGTGCAAACACGACTGAGGATCCCACCAGCATCTTTGTCATGAACAACTATTTTGGTATTGGCATAGACGCTGAGCTGTGTCTTGACTTCCACATGGCCAGGGAGGAGAAACCAGACAAATTTAACAGCAGGTTAGTTTTACAGTGCAGTTCCTGCTATGCATCCCTTTCGGGCTTGACTTAACTGAGTGGGACACCAAATTTGGTCTTAAGAGAAAAGAAGTGTTAGCGCAAACATAAAACTTCAAATTTTCTGCTTTAAAACCACAGATTTTCATTTTATAGAAATGAAAATCTTTAAATTTTCTGTATTACAATCACAAGTAGATTTTCACTTTCTAGAAATAAGTTGAAAAAAATGTGTCTTTGTTTATTTGTTACCATTTTAGGTAATTTTATGACAAAATTTGTTCTCCTCTAATTGATATTGTAACTATTTTAAATAAATATATCATTTTTCTACTTTGTGCTGTTAAAAGTTATTTAAAGTTTTTAAACTCTTCTCACACAGGCTACACAACAAAGGTGTGTACCTAAAAATGGGCCTGCGCAAAATGGTTAATCGTAAAACCTGCAAAGACCTGTACAGAAACATAAAGGTAGAGGTAGATGGGAAGCTCATCGAATTGCCCCCAGTAGAGGGCATTATTATTCTTAATATACTCAGGTAAGCTAATCTGCACAGATATAATCTAACTTTTTAGATAACTGTATATATACATTTAATCCATTATTTTGGTACGATTTAATGATTTAATTTAATGATAGGTTTTAAAATAACAATTTTATTTTAAATTAGTTCTTATAAAAACACTCAAGGCAGTACAACCATGTAAGAAGTGTTTTCTGCAAAAAACATAAAATAATTGGGGTCAAGGATGAAGTCTGTTTCCACAGTAAAAAAAAATGTTTACCATGTCTAAAGATTTCTATAAAGTAACAAACTTATTTGTTTCCACAGTAAAAAAAAATGTTTACTGTGTCTAAAGATTTCTATAAAGTAACAAACTTATTTGTTTCCACAGTAAAAAAAAATGTTTACTGTGTCTAAAGATTTCTATAAAGTAACAAACTTATTTGTTTCTACAGTAAAAAAAAATGTTTACTCTGTGTTTCAGCTGGGGCTCAGGGGCGAATCCTTGGGGTCCAGAGAGAGAGGACCAGTTTAACAAACCCACCCATTATGATGGGAATTTAGAAATTGTTGGGGTCACAGGAGTTGTCCATATGGGGCAGATACATAGTGGCCTGCGCAATGGTATACGCATTGCTCAAGGAGGACATGTAAGTAGTGATTTTATAAAATGCTGTGAGTCCTCAACTTTTGCTGTTTACAAATTAAACCATAAAAAGTTGTATTAATTTTTAATTTGTCATAAATTTGTTTAGATATATTGTTTTGTTTGTTTGTTTTTTTTACTATATTTAGTTGATATTCTTATTATTTTTTAAGATATGAAGCCAGAACAATAATTTATGTCAAATACATTCATTTGAAGAATAATTTAAAATTTGTCAACAGTTACGTATTACATTGCTATGTGATATGCCTGTGCAAGTGGATGGTGAACCATGGATACAGCCTGCTGGACAGGTCATAGTGCTTAGGTCTGCACTAAAGGTGAGTTTTTTCATACACTATTTTAGCAACACCATGACAATTTTTTTTTATCGTGCACAACCTGATTGTGTCTGTAAACCCAAACTTTTTCAGGCAACCATGTTGAAAAAGAGTAAAAATAAGATCAAACGTCGAAACACTGAACCTAGCATTTTCTTCCCTGAAAATGAACCCTTGCAAGCCTCCTCCCCTACAGAAGATTCTAGTGGACCTCTTTAACTGGTAATCTAACTTTTCTTAAAGTTTGTTTTAATAGGCTTGTATTACAAAATTGCATGTAGGTTTAATCTATTTATTAATATATGAACATGCCTACAATATTTTAAAATGTCATCAAATAACATATTCCTCTATTCTAAAAACATATTTAGTCGCCTAAACTATAATTATGCTCGTAACTTTAATTGATGTCATTTTTTTAAATAATTAAAAACATTTTTTGTTGTTACATTTTATAAAGTCTACAACCACTCAAATGAAAATGTAAATGTTATATACATTTTCAACATGCACTCAAAGTTAAGATTTTGTACAAATAAACATTAAATGTCGGGGCGGTTTTTTAAATAAACTTTTGACTCATTTCTTCATGTTTCAGGAAATGAGCAGGGAGGTCTGCCCTTGCTGCCCCTATTCTCCCTCTATTGATCTCCCTGCGTCCATGAATGAATTAGAGTAGTGAAGCACGCTCCTCCATCACTCTATGACATTTAATTTCCCCATTGAAATGTATACATTATTCATCCCTGGGTCCTTACACTGATCAGATGTAATTTAAGATTAGAGCTTTTTGTAAATCTCTTGTATAACTCAAAGGATTATTGACTCTAAATGTTAATTACACTTTTGTTTAGTTCATGCCAAATTAGCTTACTCTGTTATGGACCATGACTTTAAAAATAAATAATGCTTGTGACTTTTAAAATTTTGTTTAGGTGTTGAAAGGTTTAAATTTATAAGTTTTCATTAGTTTTATTATGGTAGGACCTATATACCTAGACATCTTTAATTTTTCTAAATTTTAGCAAGGTTAATAATTTCTTTTTTAAAAAAACACCTTTGAAGTGAATAAAGTTTTTTTTTTTTTTTTTAAATATTTGAATTTTGTCAGAATGATTTGAAAATAATAATGGCCTATAGGTTAAGATTTTAATTTTGAAGATCAATGTAAAAAAAATTATTATAGTCTAAAACATAACTGGATTTTTTTTCACATTTTTTTTCAATTCCTCATATATTTTCAAAAAAATCTGTTGATAGCTTAACTGTTTCTATCATTAATTTGAAAACATAGTATCAGAATGTAGAAATGGTGGTCCAGTTTTTTTAATTTGTTGTAATTTTAATAAGGCCTGTTGATTAATGTATATTGTACTCATTTTTTTACTTTGTAATACAAATTCTATTGGTTTTTTTTTAATTACACAACAAAGTTCAAACAAAATATACCTAACCTTCCTTTATTTTTTAATTGTTTCAAATATATTTTTTAAAATGAATAAAAACCAAAATTTTGGTGAAAAATATATTGTTTTAAAACAGTAATCTGACATTCAACTCTTTTAATTTTTCAATTTCAATACAATTTTTCATGATTAGTTTACAGTTTTAAGACCATTATTTTAGGTTGGGTATATTTTTTGTTTCCTTTACTGTTTATGCTTTAATTTTAATCTTATTTTATATACTTGACCAAACTGATTTATGGCTGTGAAGGAACTACTAAAATTAAAACCTGAAAACTGGTACTGGACAATATATATTTATAAGGTTTTGTGATAACAGTATAGCAAATATTAAATTTAAAAAATTATGTAACTGAAATTCATAAACAGCTCACTAGCCCAATAATCAACTATCATTATTTTCTCTCCAATTTTCTATTTCTAATCTACCATGCTCTTTCTCTCTCACCCATTCTCTCTTCAATATCTCCTAAATATTTCCTTACCATATTTATTTCTAGTAGATTTTTAGTCTTTTAGATTAAAAACAATGATTCTTAATCATGCCATTTATTGTTAGCATACTCCAATTCCCTATTGGTTATATTATTATTCTATTGCTACTACTGATTATTATTATAATGTTTTTTATTATACTATGAACCAAATGTTGAATTATGATGATGATGATAATTATTATAATAATTGATTCAATAGACATGTGTACATTTTAAAGAATTGTTGTTAATTTTTTTTTGTTCTACAATCTATCTTTAGGTTACATGTGATACCAGATCTTATATTGTAATTACTATTTGCGTCATTAATACTTTAATGGTATTATGATGAATGCTGTATTTTTTATTATTGGTTATATAATGATATAATAATGTGTGTGCTTGGTCAGTTGTATATTTCTGCACAGTTTGTCAGTGGTGATCATTTGGCTGAATTAGAGCTGTGAATATTTCATATTTCCCATAAATGGGATGCATCTGTTTTAAGTGACATAACTTATAACATAATGAATGCTTGTTATTGAGGATGCTGCAGAAGAAAATCCGTTAAATGTTGGTCGAATTTTTATTTTTAAAGCTTCTTCATTGTTTGGTTGTTTTAAAAAAATGTACTAAAATACAACTGAGTTAGACATTTAAAAAGATAATCTAAAACAGAATATGCCTATATTATATGGTAGTTATTATTATATTCCAAAGCAAATTTTTTGTTAAAATATTTCTAGAACTTTCTGACACATATACATCATTTTTTGTTCTGCTTTAAAACTATCTGCCTTCTTGTAACAAAAACAAACTAAACTTTATGAAATTATAACTTAATTAAAAGGATCTAGTGTTTGAATATTTTAAGATCAGTGACTATATAAGCAAAAGATGACTTACGAAGTTAAGTAGATAAACCATCATCTCTGAGTGGTTACATTGTTTTTCTTAGTGTCGCTGCAAAGAAAATTTTCATAATAATTGTAGGGTTATAAAAATTTTAGAATGAATTAAGTAGCCCAAACTGCTGGTGTAATTTGTCATTGTTCTAATGCTCTTTTTATCCTTTGAAAAACTAAAACTATCCACAATATTTGAATGGCAAACATTTTTTTTAAACTGACCAATAGAACTTAGCGACCTCTATAAAATCAGCATTGATTGCACAGCAGACGTCTTCACTACCAATCCAAAGATATGTCTCCTCTAGTGACTTATCAGTTGCATTTTAAAATTATTAATTTTTTCTTGATTGGAAGTCTGAGCTTTCTGTTTTACAAACATTTTTTTGTGAATAGTCCAGTGTATTGAAAGGCTTTAGATTTTCTATTGTTTAGAGCTCTCTCTTAGTTGTACATTATTTCTATAACTTTTTCAACAAACACTTACCTTAAAGAGTTGTGTATGTTTTCTGTTTGAAAGCTATCAGGAAAAGAAAACTAGTGCATATGATTTGTTCTAGTCTGTTTCTTTATTTACTTGTTCTTTAGTCTCTGTGAGACTGGCACAGTGCTAACCTGCTCAACTATTCTAATTTTATGTGCTCTGCTGGCTGATAAGGTTTAGCTTCTTATACTTCAGACTTAGTTTCGTATCTTAGGTCTTGTTATTAGAACAATACTAAACTATATTTTATTTAACGCTGAATGTATCTACAATACAAGTCTTGTTGCAGTCTATACATTTTATAACATTTATAAAATTTAAAAATTTGTTAACTCTTTAATTACAAATATTTAGGATAAAAGGTATATCAATCAAGAAGTTTATAAATACATTTTTGTGTGGTTTCCAAGCAGTAAAAACAGTTATTTATAATCAACATTGAGAATCAAAACAGAAACTAGATTACTTAAATTGTTAATTTATCATTTCTTTTATAGATACATTTAATCAAGAAAAAGTTTATAATTAACAAATTAATGCAATTGTTAAGAGCTAAATATTTTTATCCCAATAAAAACTTGTTTTTGTTAACTCTGCTCTAGTTATCATTCATACTTTGTTGATTAGGGAATCATTTGGTAAAATAATACATTTCTTTATTATTTTTTTAAATACATTTGTACCAGTACCTGCTTGCTGATAAACTAACCTTCAGGTCTTAATGCAGCATTTTTTTTTTCATTTTATTATATATTTAAATTAGCATTCAACTTGATTTGAAAACAATAGAATTTGTCCTCCACATTCTACAGTAATCACAGCACTAAACCAAAATTGTTTTTTACCTTCATCCCAACCTATTAGAAATAATTGTTCATGATTTGTAGTTGGAGGCCCATAAACCAGCATTTAAAGATTCCCTTGCTTCCTCATTTTGCTTTGAGATGCTTATTATTTCAACTTTCTTTATAAAACTCATTGAATTTAACAATCAAACATAATATAGGTATAACAAATTGTTTCAATATCTTTCAAACAGTATTCTTTAATATTTTTTATTTCTGTGCCTTGTTATTTGGCAACAGCATAGTGTTTATGAAAATCAATATTGTGAATTAGAGTTTAATTACATATTTAGCAATACATTATAAAAACATCATTAATTGTATAAAACTAACGTAATCATTAGCTATTTTACTGCATAATGTTACCTCTTAGCTTTATAAAATCAATATTTGTTTTATCAAAAGAAAAACATCAAATTAACTAAAATTATTGATAGAATATTATATTTTTATTCATTTAAGTTAGTATATACTGAATTTTAAAATATTAAAATTGTTGCAATGTTACGAGAAATTAGGTTCATACTGTTAAAAACAAATGTTAAACTTTTTTTTTTATTTTACATGCTATCACACAGTTACAAAACATTACCAGTATAATATTTGTTTCCTGTTGGGATGCTATTTGCATTTTCATTTTATCCTGTCAATATATCACAGTGAAGTTATGTTTTTTTTTCTTTCAAGAAATTGCATTAGGGCTGTGAATTAAATGTGAATATACATTTTAACATATTCTAAAACACGATCTGATAGTTTACTGTTGTATTTCTATACAACTTTTATTTTAAAACTAGGATTCTTTAAAATGCCCAATCTATGTTTTTAAAATTTATTTTTGTTATTGTTGGTTTGCAATGTAGAAGTAGCCAGCTCAAACTGCGATCTTGTATCCAAATTTATTTATTACATAAAAATACCTCATATTGACAGAATGTTGGTTGCATGTTTGGTTGTGACTGTTTCTTGACAACATACACATTGTTAATTCATTTCTGTACTTTATAGAACAAGGATTTTTGACATGTCATTAAATGTATATCAGTCAGTCTGTGAAACAACACATTTAATAGAGCATTTTCTTCATTTATTGATACCCTTTGTTTTCTACCAGTATTTGTGATGCTAGGTGTACTTTTTTTTTAAAATAATCAATATTGTCAGTTTAAAATTATTTTTAAAAATGGCAAGTTTCTTTTAAAAGCACATTTTAGTAGTTCCCTTGCAAAAGAGTAATAAGGTTTACCACACATACAAATAATTTCATTTATTTTATCCACATTATTGTTAGCCATTTACCTCTCCAACAAATCCATTAAATGCAAGCATGATACAGATTTAGTTAATCTCATCCAAGATAGATTTTTCTTTAATTATATGATAAGTAAGCTTTTGACATTCAAAGACTTGACAGAAATAAATATTTAGAGTAAGCAACTAGTTTCCTCAAACTTTACTGTAATTTTGTTCAAGTAGGTAATAAATGTACTCACAACAGGGATCTTATACCTATCTTCTTGGATAGTCTTCTTCTTTGTATCCTACTCACATGTATTTTATTTATTATAATATTAACGGTCTAGTGTTTCTCCACCAGCTTCGCATTTTACTTGATGTCTTATTATATGCTGTCATATAAAGCTTTAGCAGTAAAGAAAGCCAGGAAGATTCAGATTAAATTATCAATTAACTATAATTTTTAATAGCTCGTGAGAAAGAAACATGCAGTCATTTTGTTAAGTCCGCGCAAAGATATTATCCATATTATTATTAGGCACTTTTAAAATGAAAATTTCATGTAGGTAGGCAATGTATATAAATTTTTGACCAATTACTTCAAGAAGCAAATGCTATTAAATTTAGAAAGTAATTAAAATTATATCAATATAAAAATGTTTATTAAGCTTTTTTTATTAAGTTATTTTATAACATATGCTTTGTAAATCTAGATTTGCATTGTTGGTTGTTTTTTTTAATAAACTCTCGAAAAAATGTATGTAGTTTATTAATATATTTAATGGAACACAGCTGTAAACAGTTTAAGCTTTATTTTCAACTACTCTGAGTATTTATAGGCTTCATTTTTTGTGGTCCAATTTGTTATTTACATTTTCTAGAGTAGATGGACTGTTGTGTCTGTGTTTAGGAGTGGGTTAATTATTTTCTTTTTTGAAAATTTACTCAGGCTAAGCTATAGTTGCTGACTAAGAAATGTTTATGCATTAGTTATTCCATTACAACATAGAATTATTGAAAATACAATAATTTTGTTTTTTGTTTGTTTTATCTTGTTTAATTTTACTCAATTGATAATACTGCAGAAACGTTTTAATGATTACAGCTGGATTTTTTAGCATACAAAGATAAGTGACAAGATATTTTTAAATGAGGATAGCTTAAACAAATATGGTTACTTTTGATAGTTCTAGAAAATGTTCATGATTTCTTTTTTAAAAACACATTAAGGCTATATATATGTCTCTATTATCACTTCTAAAAAAAAATTATATTATGAGCTAGGGGTTAATAGGCTATTCAATTTATGTATCTGTTTTATTTTTTAATAACTGCTTTTACTATTGACTATTAGATTCTCTCAGATGCTGGTTGTATATTTTGTAACTTGTTGAGAATCTTAAAACAATGATTTAAAAAAAAGTTTCACTGAATGAGATGCTCATATTTTTAAACATAGACTCCATTTAACTGCCATATTTAAAAAAAAAATTGAAGCCAAATGTATTAATTCATTTTTTTTTTGTTTGAAGATAAACCATGTGATGTGCAGACCCAGTGTCTATTACTATCTGTGTTATTGTCTAGTACTCTCCAGTCTTGATGGATCAGATTTTTTTCTACATAGTTTGGTATGACTGGGATTAATGTTCATCTATCTCTGAGTGCACGCACTGAGTCTGACTTACAGTGATATGGTTGGAATACGATGCTGTGTTTGATGACCATCAATGGCGTTTTTATTCAAGATATGTGATAATTATCCAACTGAAATTCTATGTAAGCCATGGATTTTCATCTGCATGGGGGTGACAATGCTATTTCTGTTGGGAAAAGATTGTTTGATTTTTTGGTTTTAAATTTACAATGTTTTAATGGATTACACTTATATTTCTAAAGTAAGTTAGATTTAATTTTAACATGGTTTTCATATATAGAAAAAATTATGGAACCTCAATGGTTCTATAAAATAACTTTGTTTGAAGTAAAATAATGCTTTTTTTTAGAAATATAAATGTATTCCTGTATATTTACTTCAAGTAAGAAGTGTACATTGCTTAAACAAGGAAAATTTGAAATTTTAATTGTACTAGTGATGTATTTATAGGGTTTGTATAATAGCACTTTAAATGATGAATTCTAATGACATGGGTCTAATGTTGTTTATTTCATTAAGTTAATTAAGTCTAATGAACATGAATCAATGTTGGTCAAGACAACTATGTTGGATTGTCTATGATTTAAACATATTTACTATTGATTATCTTAGGCTCTAGTATGTTGTTTATTTAATGTCATATTTTTGTGAAAATTTCATATTTCCATTATAAAAATTGCACAAAATAAATGTGTGCAGCTTTCTTAGTGTACTCCAACCAACATTGACTGTATATGCCATCCATTTTCGCAGCTCATAACATCAATGTTTTTGGCTTCATAATTCAACTTGTTCTATTTGAAACAAATATTGTTGGGCCTCCACTGCTTTTAACTCCGCTTAAACCCTGCTTCACTGGAGAGCTAAAATATAATGAACTAATTTGTTCCGATTAAAATTTTGTATTAATGTAGGTAGTTGGACCTTATATAATTTTGATAAGTTATCTAATGGAAAGGATTGTATGCCAGTGATCACCCCAACAATATATTTAAAGTTTTTTAAAAAATTGTTAACAAAATAAGATGCAAAGTTTAGGCACATCATGATAACGTCACCATATTTAAAACTCAAGTAATTACTGTTATGTAGACCCTATACCGGTAGCATTTGATCTAGCCTAATAATTTTTCTAACTAGATAAATACTAGATAACCAAGACGGTCAACTTGTTCAAAACATTCCCTTAGAGAGTGAGGCATTCTTGTTAGTGCATTCAAGCTCTGTATAAATGAAGGTTTCAACTTTTTTTTTCAACTTCACTTTTAGGTTGGGTTTTTAATATTTATGTTGATTGGTTTTTCAGCATTGAAGTTCAATTTTAACACTTTGAAATTGTGGTATAGTATTATTCCAAGTATTTTAAAAGTGTATAGTGATAATCCACTGGATTAATAGAAGAAATTTAAATTATTGAAGCTCATTTTTGAAACAGTACTAATAGTAAATTCATGTCATTACATAAATAAAGCATAGTTATGTTGGTGAAATTATAATTTAAAATTGAATCATGTATACATTGCTTAAGATTGTTTAAGTTAATATTCAACAATATATTTCTGAATAAAAGTAAAATTTATATAAAAGAAATTTTTACACATGTTTCACTTGATGCTTCCTTTGAAAATCCAAATCTTTTGAAATATTTCTGTGCAAAAGCTGGTCAACAGGCAACACATCGGTTTTTTCATTTTAATAATTAAAAAAATATGATTCAGTGTTGGTTGGAAAACACTTTTTAAACTAATCTTTAAACTATAGTTCTAAAACTTGAGAAGATTTTGTTGAATTTCTCAGTTAACCACATGTTTCAACCTCCACAAGGCACAGAAAGCTGTGGTTAGGGTGAAAAGAAATGCTCAAAGATGACGAAATTCCAAGCTTGAATATTTGTTTTATTTATACAAACAGTTTATGAGCTCTGCACCTTTCAATATTTAAGATACCAGTTTAACTTTGATGAGTTTTATTTCTTCTCTCGTAACTGCTTGTGAATGCTTGTGGGCATCAAGCATAACCTGCTTCTTCTAGGTGTTATTGTTATGGTTGTTGATTTATTATAGAAGTTGCTGCATTATTTCTTTTCATAATAATGACAGGCAAAATGAATGTGAAGGTGATTGTTATCGTTTTATAAAAATGATATAACGACTATGTTTGATGATAATTGACATATCCAACAATTTTCTTCTTCACAATATTATTATTATTATTATTATTACAATAATTATTATTATTAACATTATTATTTATTTCACAGTATGAGTAATTAATGTTAGATAATTGAATTTGTTTATGTAAACTGCCTGCTTCATGAATATGCAAATGAGATAATGATTGATTAATCAGATGTTGATTCAATCTCATTTGCATATATTCATGAGGAAGAGCCTGAAAATGTAAGGTGGGCGCACTGTGCCAGAATGTATTAAAAATAAGAAATTACTTAAGGCCTTGTTATTATTGTTTGATTGGTTTTGTTTCTGACCTTTAAAATACACCTGTTAATTGTTTAGGTTTAAAATGTAACATCCAATGGCTATTGCTTATGCTGGCCAAGCATATTTTAGATCAAAGTTTTGGTAGCAAATCAATATGGTCTATGGTTTTAATATGTATGGAAGCATTGAGTACCCTGTCTTAGTGGCTTGAGTATGTAGGACAGCATTGAGTACCCTGTCTTAGTGGCTTGATTATGTAGGACAGCATTGAGTATCCAGTCCTAATACCTTGATTATGTAGGACAGCATTGAGTACCCTGTCTTAGTGGCTTGAGTATGTAGGACAGCATTGAGTACCCTGTCTTAGTGGCTTGAGTATGTAGGACAGCATTGAGTACCCAGTCCTAGTGGCTTGAGTATGTAGGACAGCATTGAGTACCCTGTCTTAGTGGCTTGAGTATGTAGGACAGCATTGAGTACCCTGTCTTAGTGGCTTGATTATGTAGGACAGCATTGAGTACCCAGTCCTAGTGGCTTGAGTATGTAGGACAGCATTGAGTACCCAGCCCTTGTGGCTTGGGTATGTAGGACAGCATTGAGCACCCAGCTCTTATGGCTTAGGTATGTAGGAAAGCACTTGGTACCATCTTAGTGGCTTGAAGCAGTAGGGCATTGAGCCATAATGGCATAAGTTTAGTAAGAAACCTTCTACCAGCAAATGAGCACAAAATCTTTCCATACGCCACTTCCACAATAGTAGATGACACTCTGCCTACCATGTTGACCATCTGTATCTTATTTTTAAATTAAACTAGACCACTTGTTTCCCTGTGGATAACTATGGGTTTGGTGGTCATTCATAAATGTCATCATGATTTTTTTATGAGATTATCTCCTCACCCCTCCACATTGTCACACACAGTCACAAAAAGATAGGCCTCCACATCTAAACAGACATCACAGCTTGTTATTTCTATGTTCTGACAATATTATTAATTTTCAATAGGATATAATTGACAGATCTTCATCAGACATTAAATAGCTGACGTTGGAAACTGAATTTTAGCTGATATTACGGCTTTTTAAAAAAGAAATCAATATTTTAACAGAAATCTACATGTTATTGTCTATTAAAAATCGATTTCTTTCTAAAATATTATGTACTACCAGTATATCTAAAACCTCAAATCTCCACTTATAACAGACATTTAATCAGTAGTAACTAAGAGAATACCTTTGCCTTTGTAGTCAACAACAAATTATAGTAAGACAATTATTTGAATTAAAACAGAATAAAAATATTTATTCCACGTCAGAAAAATGAAACAAAGCAACACAAAATGATAATACATGTTAAAACTAATTGCAGTGTTTAGCAATAGTTAAAACATATGTATAGTTAATATGCTTTAAATATTTAATAAAAATCAATACTGATTGCATCAACTTTAAACAGTGTAGCTTATATTAATTAGAATAGCAGTTTTGTTAACAGCTAACAGTTGCTTCTGTTATTAATTTCAGAATAAGCAATTGTCCATGGAAAATGTAATTTATGATTACTAAATAGAATGTATATAGAAATATACATAACTTTATACTGATTGGAATTAAGTTAATGAACTACACTGAAAGTGGATAATGAAAAATATGCCAGAAGATACAATATTTAGTACATGTCCTTCCTGCAAGAGAAAACAAATGCACTTACATTCTCTTAAATGAAATGACAACTTATCTGTCATGGCTGCCTTCAATAAACAAAAGATAAATTTATCACAGGTATTTTTTAAACAAACAAAATACTTTCTAACCATGACATGTTTATAACAAAAACATATCTAGGTAAAACTGTCAGCACCTTGGAGTTTTCAAAACAAGTTTTAACCTAATAAGACATGTACACAGCTCTCTCCATATATTAAGAGATCCTGTAGAAAAATGTAGACACAATCTTTGGGTACTATGACTAATAAATGCTAGTTATATAACAAAAACAATGTTACTTCAGTATATAAAAAATGTTAATACTGACAAGTTACAAAGTCATTATACTTTGACAAGGCCTTTACCACTAAATTTTTAAACTAATGCCAAGCACTTTTAACACAAGTGTTACTACTGTGACAGCTCCAGACTAGCAAAAATTTTATTTAGGTGGTAAATGCAGGGGACAAACATTATTTTTAAATAAAAACATTGAGACTTTCAACTTAATGAGTAATATAAATAAAATATTTTACATTTGTTTGCATCAAGTTTATTATGTCATTGCACAATTCAGTATAGGATGCCAATTGTAAACTTTGCTAATGTTGCAAGGATGTATTTAAAATAGGTAGCTTGTAAACATTTCTAGAGAGATAATAAGAGAACTTTTTAGTACTTGAAATTTTTTTACCCAGTAAAAAAAATATCCAACTGATTTTTTAAAAAATCAAAAAATCATTGAATACAACAAGTTTAAAAAATTGTACATTTTGTCAATTGCAAAACGTTTCATTTTTTTAATTCTTTTATGAGTATTTAACTGAGTGTGACAAAATTAAAAAAACAATAAAAAGCATCCATCTGCTTTTATCACTCTTAATTCATAAAATTATCTGAAGATTCCAAGATAAAATAATCAACTGTTTATATTTCTTTTTAAATTTGCAGTTGTTTGATGAGTCGTGTGTAAAAAAAGAAAATATAAAGAGAAATATATCATATGGATGGCTATTAATATAACATATCATCATTAAGGCAAGGAGGATAAGCAGGTTTTATTTTAAATTTATATCAACAAAACATCAAGGCATTTGTCTATCACAGGATGTAATTAAACACAATACTGAGATTACTGTAAAAATTAATAGCATAAAATATAAATAATTAATTGAATTTGTAAGAAAACTAAAGATAATGCATCTCAACATAAAACTTTTTTTATATTGGGTATATTATCTTTGGGACGGAGGGAATTGATTGTAAAATAATATCCAGAGCTGAGGTGGCAGAAAGCACAAAGTAAGTCAGTGCTGTAACCATCATACTCTACTTCCTTGTTTTGTTAAGAAAAATGTGAAAAGTATTTAAATCTAATTTGAGCAATTGACTAAAACTGTGTTATCTACAATTGTTGTAATTGGTATTTGCGAAATAAAATATAAACACCTTTGCTTATTAAAATACAAATTAATCCAAAATTGCATCATTTTAAAAACTCTAGAAATTTAGTTAGACACTGTCAGAATTAAGACAGAAAAACTAAATTTAATATAAAAAAAAAACTATAGAGCTTCAAAAAACAAAAAAGTACTAAAGATTTTTTAACAACCTGTATTAATGAGGTAAACTAAAATTGTTAATTATTCAACTATAGAGCATCAAAAAACAAAAATGTACTAAAGATTTTTTAACAACCTGTATTGATGAGGTAAACTAAAATTGTTAATTATTCTTCCCTTTTTTTTTTCCATGTTTGAGTTCATTGTCAGCTTCAGTTTCTTTCTTGTAACGTGTGTACAAGTAATAGATGACAAAGACGACCACTAAAGGGGGTGTCATAAACTTCAAAAAGTGAAGTATTCCCTCAAGGCTTGCGAAAGACTTCTGTGAATTCTTTTTCTTTAAAGAGATCAGTGTGACTTCAAACATCAAGGTTGCATCAGCTACAAGTAGAATATATAAATGTTTCTCAACATTCATATAGTATACACATGTGTTGTTAAGCATTATACACAAATGGTGTATTTATAAATTCAGTTATAAGTAACATTCAAAACTGGTAGTGATGTAACATTTTGTAGTGATATTGCTAGTGTAAACATGGTGTATCAGTACATTTTGTTGTAACATAACCTAGGACTGTGCACACCACTTTTGTTACATTTTGTATTTTACATATTAGTAACAGACAAACATTCATAAAGTTTCTTGATAGAACACATTTATGATATACCTGTATGCTCAATTAACAACAGATTTTTTTAATTTCCATATTAAATTTTAGTATTTTGCAATTGTACAATTACCACTTTATTTCTCAGATATTTTTTGTCACAAAAAACATTGGAACAGTAAACCAAGCACTTTTCTCAACTTACCACAATTATGCCGAATATAAATTGAATATGCCATATTTTTAACTCAACAAAATAGAAAAGCTGGCACTTATAAATAATCCACTTTTTAACAAGAAAAGTATACATTAAATATGATATAAATAAAACCTAGTATAAATAATCAATGTAATTAACATTTCTCCATCACTAATTTGATGATAATTTCAATTAACTTTAAACGAAATTACAAAAATACATAAATTTTACTCACGGGGTATAACTGGAGGATAGCCTACTTTTCCATATCCAAGCCAGGGTGGGATAACGAGCCTGCGTTGCTCTCTAATAAATAATTTAAAATGTATGATATTAAAATTCTTCACACACATGGTCTATACAAGATAACTTTTTTAATTATTAAAAAAACTCATCCCTATGGTGGCTTTAAGTTCATGGCAGTTTTGGGATGCAATACACAAACAAATATCAATAGGGTAACACTAATGCGTATTTAAAGCTAATCACAGATTAGGCCTAGACTTGCATGGGATTTCTTCTATTTGTGAGTGCTTGTAGTTTCAAACCCAAATGGCCTCCAGAAACATTCTTGTGGCAATTACAGCAGAACATTATACTACATGTAGTTTACTGCTGAGACTATTAGTCAATTACAGCAGAACATTATACTACATGTAGTTTACTGCTGAGACTATTAGTCAATTACAGAAGAACATTATACTACATGTAGTTTACTGCTGAGACTATTAGTCAATTACAGCAGAACATTATACTACATGTAGTTTACTGCTGAGACTATTAGTCAATTACAGCAGAACATTATACTACATGTAGTTTACTGCTGAGACTATTAGTCAATGCACATTGCCCATGTTCTTATAAATGTAATTTCATTGATCAGTTGATTGGTAATTGATTATGACAAAGTATTTGTGAATTAATTTAGTCACTATAATTTAAAGCCTAAATGGTCTAGTTTTTCCTTTACAGTTTCTGTCTGCCTAGCTGCTTGCTATAAACATGAATTCTTTTCACTTCGATAGTGTTTTGAAAAGAAAACAAAGCAGCTACTTACCCTTCACACATACCAAGCAAGCCCTGGTCACATCCTGTAGAAAAAATATATTAGCACACATCATTAAAAACCTTACCCTGGCCAAACATGTTCAACTATCATGGTCAGCAAAACAGTACCATGAATACCTATGGTTATTTTAGAAAATAACAATAATTACAGAACAAGCAGACAAGATGGGGGAAAACATCAGTTATATTCATAACATAAGCTATTATGTCTGAGGATACAATGGTTGAGGGTAAAAAAAATTACAAAGGAGGAGCTGAACATGAGGCTGTACATAAAAAGTATTTAATTACTGTACTTTTAGCTCTTTTAGAACATTGATATTACATATTACCTTTCTGTAAACCAGCATTTATTAAAAAGAAAGAAATCTGATATGTTTAATTTGTTTAAGTTATCATACGTGGTTACAGCGGAGAATTGCCAAGTCAAAGAATTAAGAATCAAATACCTTGATCTGCAGTAAATAGGGCATAATGTATTCTTATTATCATCATTAGATAATGAAAAAACAGCTCCATGGGTAAAACCAAACCCAGTGTACACTGGATCATAGTTGATGAACACAATTTAATGTTTGTCAGTACTTAACTGTGAAGCTTTACTTTACTTATAATGATGAGGTTCAAGCCAAAAAAAAAAATAGCATACCTGGAATCAACTCACCAGCACCTATGGTGAAGGTAAAATGAGTTTGGCCTTGCTTCTCTGAAGAATCAAACATTTGGCCATTTTCAAGGTAACCCTACAAAAGAACAAAATGTGTTATCATCCTTTTAATTAAACATGAACTATTTAAAATAAAATAGACCTACTACAGCAAAGACTTTTTTCTTTTAATTGAACACTGATCAAACAACTAAACTTATAACACAAAATCAAGGAAAAAAATTTACATTAGTTAATAAACTTACTTTGTAATGAATTTGCAATTCATCACCAACCTCTGAAACAACAGAACAGTGCTCTGGTTTCCTCTGGGGAAAAAGTTTATTTTCATGTTTTGTGCAAAACATAATTAACAATACTAAGTCTCATTATACATGAGAGGAGGTTTAATTTCATCATTGTAATAATTTGGCAAACATTCCTTTTCACACAATAAAAACAGACTTACGGTAATGTTTAATCAGACATAAAGTAGGCCAACCCATCATTTAAACTCTATGAGCTTAATCTAGTTGGTATTGTATAATCCCCTGATATTAGTAACAGGTGGAAAACGTAGGCCTTTTATTAATTATATCAAAAGGGGAAAGACCTGGTCTAACATTTACATTAGCCCAGTGATCTGAGAGGGACCATATCATTTAGTTCACATGGAAAAAAAAACTCAATTGTGTCCATTTCCTCTCTTAAGTAACCCTAAACTTTCAAAAAATAAAATATAAAAAAACATTTGTAATTATAAGCTTTTAAATACACTGAAAAAAATAAAAATGAAGCAAACTTGCATTCTTTTCAAGAAACTTTTAAGATTTGACAAATTAGGTGGTAATTTTAGTATCTTTATTATTACATATGGATGACATCATTATTATTGTGTATTTTTTTCAGCAATGGCTTTTTAATTCTATGTTTACTCTAGAATTAATGAAGTCATTTTATTGTGTATACTTTTCCGGCTTTAAAACTGTACATATTTCGTTTCATTTTGAAAACTTCCTATATGTTCCATGTGAAGTCACGGTCTTTCACTATGCATCTTTTAAATTTACTTGCTTGCTAACCTGGAGGAATGGCCAGTTGCTGACAACAATATGGCGTCCATGGTTTTAAATGTTTACCACGAGCAAAATGACGGGGTTTTCACAAACTATAGGCTAAATTCAAAAGTTGGTTTCATTAAAAAATTAATAGAACTTTTAAAATATCAACAACGAGCCGGCCCGCGGCATAACATACGCCGCTATTTAGTTGTTTCTAATTTTCAATAATTCATAATTTGTGAATTCGACAGTACCAACGCTGACACTGAAAATATTTCTTTAAAACACTATAAGTAGCTCGTTAAGGACCATAACCCTTCCTTCCCCCCCCCCCTCCCCCCCCCTCCCCCCCTACGTTTAAAATCGTTGGCTCTGCTTGTAAACATTTAGAGTGAACACAGCTCACTAAAACCATGTAGGGGTGGGGAGGTAGGGAGAGCGTTTGCAGCTTGTTTTCTAACGGCTCCCAGAAGAGAATTATATATATAGATGTAGGTACAAAAGTGAGCGAGTAAGTAAAGCATTATTATTTTTAATCTGTCTATGAAAAAAGAAATCAAATATTGTGAGCAATTTTTTAATAAGACCGGCTCTAATATCACAACCAATTTATTTTTATTTTTAAAAAATGTGACCCCCTATTTGGTCGATCACTAGTGTGGATCTCTAGTGCATAGTCAGTTAAAAGTCAAACCGATTTGTGGTTCGCCGTGGCCTCAAACATAAGAGTGATATAACATGGTTGTAATGGAAAGGTGTGTCGTGCCATGGCAGTGAGTGATAATAACTATTAAATTAAGTAATTTAGTTTAAAACATACTTTTTATTTAAAAGCTCACTATTATTCAGTGGTCATGTTTAAATTGAAAACTGATTAAATTATAGATTTAGCGAGAAAATCTACAAAGAAATCTGTCTAGAGCGTTCCAGCCAGACAGAATAACCTAACTATTATAGTGATTTATATGGGACGAAGTGGTCTAGCGGTAGAGAGCTAGACTGCTAACCCAATAGTCTCGAGTTCGAATCCGGGTTCAAGTCAGTAGACCATCCCTGAGTCCACCTAACTCTGATGGGTACCTACCCACGTTAGGGAAAGTAAAGGTGGCTGGGCATAGTGCTGACCACACTATCTCTTCATATGCCGAGGTCACAGAAACAAGTGAACTCTACTTCACTTGCCCCATAGACGGTCAGGTTTGAAAGGGAAGCTTTACTTTACTTTACTTATAGTGATTTATACTTTTATTTGCATTCAGATTCTAGAATTTAGATCGTTTCTAGATCTAGATGGTAATATAAAACTAGAAATCTAGAGAAAACTTAGATTTAAAAATCTAGATCTGGATTGCGATATCTGACTACTAGTACTAGACTTCTAGATCTAGATCTAGAGGAGTTTACACTTTTCGGACACACACCAAAAATTACGTAGGAGCGAACACTTCGTCGGTTTTTGGCTCATAGAAACTTTAATTAGCATGTCTCACGCGAAACCACGGCGCCTGCACGTAAACTGTTCATTTATGAACACTTCCGTGTCAAGTACTTCCGTTTCCTTTCTCAAGAATTATTTTTAGAAATTTTTTAACGTTGCATGGTACGCACATTTCTATTTTTACACCAGCCGGATGAAGTGACCTAGGGTTGGACTTAGGGGCAAAACTTGAACCAATCAATGCTTACAGGGTCCATAGCCAAATCCCAAAAGAAAATTCAAGGCTTTTTCAAGGTTTTCAAGGTGATTTTGGGGGGAATTTCAAGGTATAAACTACCACTAACGGGCATTACAATGAGTGTGATGTATGTTTTTTGCACACACAATTTTTGAAATAATGTTGGTGTTATTACAAAACTATCTAAGTCAGGAGATTGTCTGAGAGTCCAGCATAATCCCTTTTGCAATCAGTATCTTTGGTGTCAAATGACACTCCTCCAACTTCTATTTTCAGAAAAACCTCTTTCAAAACTGGCTTGACCATGTGACAGAAGCAATAGATCTCTAACAATTTTCCAAATGTTCACATAAGAAATTTTGCTACCAAGCTGTTCTATGAAACAAATGTCCAGCCTATCATGTTCTCAATTAGATTTAGATAGACAACCATTTAGAGTACATGTATCTATGAATGTTGAAAATTGAAACAGAACTTGGTCACACTCAGCTGATTTCCATTTGTTGACTAGGATGTGAAGAATTCCCTTCATTTATTTTTTTGTGAACTGGCTCTATTTTTAAACATTTGCATTAGGCTAAGTCTCTCACTAATGACTAAAGTAATGGAGATTTCAACAAAAAATTTGATGAAAATCCTATCAAAGTTGTCTTACAATCAGATTTGAAATTGAGAATTTGAAGCTCACTTGCTTTTTTTACTTTTTCTAGAGACTTTATTAGAGAGTCAGCAACAAACCCAACTTCAATTGAATGACTTGTCAATGTCAAGTGATAATCAGAATCAGGTCATTATACATAAAAGGAAGCATTGGTTCGTCTGTCTGATAGTCCTTTAAAAAGGACTCTGCACACATATTCCTTTAAAAAGGACTCTGCACACATATAGAAACAAAAAAAAACCTAGCTATGCTTGTAGAAATTATCCTGCTTAATGTCATAAATGACCTCACGCTTTTTAAAAGATTATTACCTCTCCCCCCCCCTCCGTCACACATCACAAAAAGCCAGGCCCCGCCCTCTAAAATGACGTCACACCTCAGCCTATAACCCCTCCTACACCCCACCCCCCTTGATTGCAGTTTAATTTTTCTTAAAATAGGATTTTTTCCCCAAAATCTTGTCTGAACTCTGTCAAAATAGAGTATTTTAATCAATTCCTTTTACAATTTATTAAAACAGTTTTCTAAAATGCTAAAATTCGTTTTCTAACATTGCTTTTTAATAATGCAAAAGTGTGATGGCACACGATCTGACTCCCCCCCCCCATCCCCTCATCACACACCGTCACACGATTACGGATCCCCCTCCCCCTACGAGTGTGACGTCATTTATGGACGACCCCAATGTCCCCACCTATGATATACATGATGACGTAAAGAAATATCGTGGAAGTTTTAAGTTAGTTCATATCGCGGAATAACAGAATTAAGTTGTTTTTTTAAAACAATTTCACAAGTAACTACGCTAGTAATACTCATGTCAGAGATGTAGCCGCCCGACAAAGTGAAAAGCGGATTTTTTTTACAAGCGGATGGGAGGGGGCAGAGACAGCGGCAATTTTCTCAAACACGGTAATTCGAGGCTTCTTAAACATTCCAAGGACGTTTTACCACAGTAAAAAGCAATTAGATCTAGACCCTGCTAGATGGTGTAACTAAATTATAGCAGACCTACATATTTTGTTCAATGACCTAAAACGATGCAGATTTAGTTTTTGTTTTCGCTTTAATCTAGCAGTAAGCCCAATATTAAAGATAACCACGTTAAAATTAGATAAACAGCGTTTGTAGAACTGCCTTGACCGTGAGACACTACTGTGCTCGCGCGTGGTCTCGTGTCGTAGATCTTACGGTCAGCGCGACCTTGAAGTGAGAGGCGGTAAAAAGTGTCCGTAAAGTTGAGTGAAAACAGCACAGTCATAGTCCTTCAAATTATTTTTCTTTTCTTTTGATAAATACAAATTCTTTGTTTACGTCGGCGCAAAATCTTTCCTTTTTACTTTCTCGTATATACGTAGTATAGAGAAAGTATTGTAATCGTGCAAAAAAAAAAAAAATCGAGATTTTTACAAATCTCTTTTACACCTCACTGATACGGAAAAACATAATTTTGCAATCTTGTCCGTATGTCTGTGTGTGTGTGTGTCTGTGTGTCCGTGTGTAAACACGATAACTTGATTACCGTTACAGCTAGGTTGTTGAAATTTCATATATAAGTATTATATCAAAATCGTAGATCCGTATCAACTTTTGAGCGATTTCCGACAACCGGAAGTGGTACTTTTTCTACTTTGAATTTTTCAAAAGCCTATAACTAGAGTACTATTTCAGATAGATAAATGAAATTTCACATGTAAGTAAAAGATCTAATTCTCTACCTTCTGTTAAATTTTGAGTAATTTCCGTTGACTGGAAGTAGTAATTTACGCTACTTCCGATTTCTCAAAAAACTAATGTAAATTTTAAAAGTACTAATCATATTGCGCACTATTATGCGCTTTTTTATTTCGCGTTCACTTGGTGTGCAATTAATTTGTCTACGAGATTTTATTCTATTTTTAAAACTTTAAGTATTTAAAATGGATTTAAAAAAAATTCATAAAAAAACGTTTTAGTAACAAGCTTTTATGTAATGATGCACTAAAAAGTAGAAAATAAATTATAGACTACTATTTAAATAACTATAAAGAAAAGCGTGGGTCACTTTAGTATCTATTGGATACCTTTACTAATGTTAAGGAAGACACCCACGCTTTTCTTTATAGTTATTTAAATAGTAGTCTATAATTTATTTTCTACTTTTTAGTGCATCATTACATAAAAGCTTGTTATTAAAACGTTTTTTATGAATTTTTTTTTCAGTACTTTACATGTTTTATTTACAATAGAGTTACATGACTAAAAACCATTGCGCGCCTACTGAACATCACGTTCAGTAGGCGCGCAATGGTTTTTGAACGCAGCCATTGAAGCTATTGAAGGTGATGACGCGTGTGGTGTGGTTGGCTAGACATGCCTACTAATTCGGTCCAAATTTTAATTAATTCATAAAAAATTAATTAGGCATCCAATTAAGTCAAATTTAGTTTCAGATTGCATTGTCTTCATGTCTTGACCCACGTGCTAACTTTGAATCGTATCGGTCAAGTAGAACTGTCCGAATTTTCACTCCTGCGTTTCCGTCTAGACTGACGACAGAAGAAGTGAGTTAAATAAAAGCTTGTAAAAATCATGTCTATAGCCCGAGTTCCCATCCCCTGTTATTTTATATAAGAATATTCGAGAAAGTTTAGGGGAGATCACTCCCGGTTTATTTTAAGAAGACAATCGGCGATGCTAATGAGCTGGTAATGTTAGGATTTAGTTTTTTTTAATTACACAGCCTAGCGGTAGTCCATTGATGACGTCACGTAATTAATGCGAATTTTACCCCAACCTCTATTGTCATAAATAACCAGACAGCCATGTCAAGAATGACATCAAAAAGTTCTGTCTACAGCCTCACCCACCTGCAGTTTCTTCCAGACATCTCTTCGGGGGGGGGGGGGGGGGGGGGGGGGCTAGGCCCCCCCGAAAAATTTTTACCGCCCCCCCCCCCCGAACGAAATGAAATTTATATAATTTATATAGAAAATATATACTTTTAACAGTGTCCGCCCCCCCCCCCCCGAAGAAAGTTTACCGCCCCCCCCCCCCCGAAGATTTCAAGTGCCCCCCCCCTGGAGAAAAAAGTCTGGAAAAAACACTGCCCATCTGATACAGTCAATGTGTATTTGGTCCATAGCCCACGTGAGATTGACGATTACGTCATTTGCTATTGGTTTTTTTAACGAACGTGATAAATATGCCTATTGGTATTAGGAAATCTTGTTGGTTAATAGTTAAAAATCTAGATCAAGATCCACGACTATATTAATTATTAATATACTGCGAGGTCACTGTAAGTTGAGATAGACCTAGAAGACCTTCTAAGGTCGCAGTGACCGAAACATCTGCTATCGTGGGGTACACAAAGAACCGTGATTGATCTAGGTTCGTAAAAACGTGTCTTCTCGCACATCTAAAATAACAGAACACAATAATTCGATAAATTATGTAGGAATAAAGATAATGTACCCGTAATTCCGCAGCTACGTTTCGCCCTTTTGTGTTTAACCCACACCGAGAAAATTTTAATTTAAGTAAATAGAAACCTACGCTCGCATAGTTCAGGCTATTCTTTTTTTTTTTTATTAAAACCTAAGGCTTATTTTCTTGAAGAAAAAATATTAGTTCTAGATGTAGGTTTAATTATAATCGAGATAATTTCCATGCGCGACCAGAATTTTAATGATTTAGGCCACATTCCAATTTTTTTCTTTACGGACATCACCGATCAGGAGACAACAGACCACTCGCGGGGTCAATAAAGTTCACAATATAAATAGAGCCAACGACTGCCGAGATATTGTCGGGAAGGGATTTGGGGGGCGGGGGGCGTCGATTGTTATGATTGAAGATGTTTGAAACCATAGAACCGGATAACACGGAAATTTAACACAAGAAAAAAAAAGGTCGACACTAAATCGATTTTGATGTTTACTGTGGGCTTTTGCGTAACATTTGCGGCCTAATTCCGCAACAGGGGTGTCAAAATCGAAAAATTACGGATAAAACCGTACAAGTAGGTAGGTCCTAACAGAAAACACTGAATCTAGATCTAGAATCTAGTAAACGGAGATACCCGAAAAACGATGCTAAATTTAGCCCTCGGCTATCTACGTCACGATCTAGAATCTAGGTTAGGAAGAGCCTATGCAAAACTGGTCTGGTTGGGGTCATACCGCGAGGCTCAGCAAAGGAGAGGGTTGGAAATAGACTCCGAAGTTAACGCAGACCCACGGCAAAAAAAAAAGCCAGAAAAAATTTAGATCCATCAGAATTGAATTATTTTTTTTAATTCGATTTACGGACGGTTTTCAAGGTTTACCTATAAAATTCAAGGGGTTTTGCTCATTTTTGGGGAAATTCAAGGGTTTTTCAAGGCCTTGAGATGTTTTTTGGAATTCAAGGGTTTTTCAAGGATTCAAGGTCCGCTACGGACCCTGTGCTTAGCTAAAAGGTTACACTATAAATAGCTTCTATATATGTATGGAACATCGTAAATGTCAAGGTTAATGGGTTTTTTTGTGCTTGAACAATAAAAAAGGGGTGTTCGCTAACTTATTTGGCCTTACATGGGAGCGGACAGCAACACAAAAATATTATTAAATAAGAATTTAGAGCATAAAAGGGGCTGATTATTGAAGGGAAAGGGTCAAAATAAGGTCAAGAAGGCAGTGGAATGCGAAAGAGGAGGGGGAATCATGTGACCTGGCTGGCTTAGCAGCGTACTGCTGAATGGGATGAACTTTGGGAGTGTGGGAAAAAGGTTTTATACTATTAAAATTACCTCACAAATAATCAATAACACAATATACATGCATATAATATATGTTTTTATTCATTAAATTGACTTTAAATTATTCTAAATGAACAAAAAGTGCTATGTCCGATGACGGGTAAAGGTGTCCGAACACATGTAAAACTGTATTACATGTGTTCGAACACACGTTAAGACCCCCCAGTCACTATAACAAGAATAGCTTAAGTTCTATGCGTATGAATACAAAATGACACGCACATTATTAAAGTAGAATGGTTGCGGATAGATATGATACTTTTTTTTGTTTTCTATGTTAAGCGGTTACTGAATGAGACCGCATGGAATTTTTACGTTGCGTTTTTTCGCTATGTGTGTCCGAAAAGTGTAAGCTCCTCTAGTATTTTTTCAGTCAAAAATCTCTCAAAATCGAATCCAAATTGAAATTCTAAATGAAGAGAAAAGAACTAGATCTAGATCTAGATCTAGATTTTAAAATAAATCCTCCTAAAAATGTGAAATAATTAGGCCTACAAAAATTGAATGTCACCTTTTTTTCACATTACTATATTATCTATAATAATAATAGAATAGGCTACTATAATATAATATCTACTTCTAGATCTAGATCTAGATTCTAGACTCTAGATCTAGATCTAGTCTAGATTCTACTAAAAACTTAATCTAGTCTAGTTAAAAACACCGGTAATCTATCGTTTTGGGTACGTAAAATCGCCCGCGATTTGTAATGTGAAAAACAGGTGACTCCTTAAATTTTAATAATTATTTCACATTTTGAGGAAGATTTATGTTTAAAAAAAATCAAAAATGTTTCCTTGATTCATTTATGTACCTGTTTTTAAACAATTGAATTAAAACTTTTCCGTAATAAATGAAGACTAGCGATGTTTCCGACAGATGCAACCATGCACATTTACTATAGCAGCCATCTTGTCTAAGTTTTATTTTTTATAAGCTTTTAGCTCCAGATTCAGGGGGAAGCCACTCTATTTTACAAATGGCTGCTGTTTATATAGCAAATCTTGCTCTCAGACACTGCTGTTTAAGTTAATTTCTGGCCTATATCGATATATTTAGCCATTGATTTAGGTTTATTATTCATTTATCTATAATATTTGACACAAACATATCACAATATACTTCTATTAAAGCCTTGACAATGAGGTAACGTTTTCGTACATAAATAGCCGCGGGCGATTTTACGTACCCAAAACGATAGATTACCAAAACACCACTCACCACTGTACGGGAGATCAACTGCTTCTGCTTTAATTTATCGAACACTTCTTCTTTAGCATTCTCATTTAGATCTATTTCTTCTGAGCGCGCACCTAAAAAGCTTGTGACTAAGAGAACTGGTAAATACTTAAAAAAACAAAGTAGCATTTTTATCTAGATCTAGAATCTAGATCTAGACTAGATCTAGCAGTGAATACAATGGTGATATATCTGCCGGTTAGCAGCGTCAACATCAATGTCAAAGGTCAACTTCAGACGTTCCAAAACGGAATGTAGGGATGATAGATTAAATCTAATAATAGATCTAGCTAGGTCTAGATTCTCGAATCTAAACTCTCTAGATCTAGATCTAGATCCTAAGGCCCATAGATCTAGATTTTATTTGTGTTTGAAATAGAAATCTAAATGTTATATGATCTAGAATATCCTAGACTAAACAATTTTATTGCGGTTGGCCTATCATCTATGTGTTATACCAGTGTCAGATAATGCCACAATAAAATAGAATCTTCCTTAGATGGGGGTGCTAGATTATTCATGGTAGTTAGCCTAAACTAAAATCTAGATTGTAGATCTAGATCTAGATCTAGAATCTTTCAATCTAGATCTATCTACATAACATTCTTATCATTCTAGATTTCTAGAATCTCTAGCATAGTAGATCTAGATCTAGATCTAGATTCTAGCTAGCTAAGTCACACTATGTCGACTATAGTATAGCCTATACTATAGGCTGGCTAGATCAATATAGTGTAGTGTAACTAACATAACATTTTTAACATTTAGTCTTGTCAACTTAGTTTTAACTACTTTTAATTTTAACTAGATCTATAACTAAGTAATAACTATTACTATTAACTTCTCTGATCTAATAAAATAATCTAATCTAGATCTAGATCTATATTACTAGATCTAGCTAGATCTATTCTATATCATATGCCATATTAATATGCCGTCAGTTTTTGATATAATTATAAAAATAATGATAAATTATTACATAGATCATATATACTATATAATATTTATCTAGAATCTAGACATCTAAAATAAGAAATCTAGATCTAATTTTAAATCATATCTAATAGGCCTATCTAGAATAATTAGTATTAATTAGAGTGAAAGAGATCAGAGTCTAGTCAATGTCTGTTCTAGTCAGCCAGTCTGAGTAAAAAGAAAGATCAAAATCAAGATCTAGATCTAGAATATTCAATTCAATATAGAATCTAGGGCTTAAGGTATACATTTCGAACCGTCCCTAGAGGATTTCATAGTGTCAGCTGCCAACCAATCAAAGACACGTTTACTCAGCATTTGGATTGGCAGCTGAGGTCATGCAATGCCTTCTTGGAGCTACAAACAAAGGGCTGAAAAAGACATTCTTTTTTAGTGTTGTTCGGATTTTTTTTACGTTTTTCAAAATGGGCCGAAAAATTATCCCTAAAAAAATGGACAATCATTTTTTTCTAAAAAGGGAAGTTTTGTGTGATGTTTGGATGTAAAACAACAGCCCATGACAGTACTTGTCAAACCACTTGAAGGCACCCAATCGACAATCGCTGTCATGCATGAGTGGTTTTCATATGTTCTTGTGAACTAAATACCAGTTTCTTTACAAGGAAACTGGAAGACAACATATTTTTTAAAATAACGACACTAGCAGAAAGGTTTTTGAAGATTATTAGAATAAATAGGGTGCATTGGGTACATGAGTTGATTCTATAGTTGTCTTGCGGGTCGATATTTTGAGTAGACCCTTTGTATCCCCAGCAGAACAAGTCCCCAGCATGGCCTGAACAAACTGGCTGGCTTTTTTTGTTGCATACAGTTAAATATAAACTGAAAATGTTATCATATTTCCATTATTTGAATACCACCTAGTTTGAAACAGCCTGATCTTCAACCTTATTTAAATATTGTTACTTGATGTAAAAAATATTTTTTTCTCTTCTAATCTTCATTTAACGAAATTTCAATTTTATATCAGTCCAAATTGTATTAAATTTAAAGTAAAAACTTTAAAGAAATGTAGGTTACAACTCCTGAGCCCGGTTTTTCGAATGCTAATCTTGCATGCGTGGTAGGCTATACAAGAAGCTTATGTGAACTCATAATGACCACATTTTCTTTGTCTGAGGAAAAACAAAATTATCAATAATCTCAAATAGCAATGTCTTTATGCAGTTGCTATGATTGGGCACTTGTCTCGTTTTATATTCTTAAATGCTGTATAAAAATAAATACTTTAAGGATGTAGGCCTACATTAATGTGCTGACCAAAAATAATTTTTTTTAGCAAACATGATTGTTTAAAAGTTTTAGTTAAATAAGTTTTCAAAAAGACACCACTTTGCAGAAAATGGCCACAGTTGGAGCAACTGCTCCACCCGTCCCCTCTGTGTACACAACTGATGCAAACATATTATAATATTAATACCTCTTTATTTACAGTTTCTCCTGAACTTTTACTAAATAAAGAAAGTATGTTGATGGATAAACTATTTTCCTAAATTATGAGTGAACTTCGAACACGGTACTCTACTACAAATGTGGACAAATATGACCACACAATGAACTCTGAACAAGATATGAACTCATTCGATGACACCATGATGGAAGGCCACTCAGAACGCACAGCTACTACAGGCAACATGCCAACATATAGTGCCAGCGACATGAAAGTGGATAGTTCCAGAGAAGAAGATGACCTTGATACACCCAGAGTCCGACTTTTTGGGCGAAGCTTTAACAGGGTTGTAATGATGACCCATTTCAATATTTTTTTATACTCAAGTGCTTTCTGGATTCAGACTGCTGTTTTTCCTGTAAGTTTGATCACCTTAGTGTGATGGGTGTGTGTTTGATGGTTGCGAACTTTATTGATCGATTTATTTTTTGAGAAGATGAACTGTGAATCATCAAATCTTACACATCCAACTCAGTTTGATTTCTCAATTTAGCTTTTTTTTTTCAAATAAAATATACTTATTTTTAAAAAGCATATAAATCTTTAACTGTATCAAAACCAATCAGAATAAACATACTATACAGCGGCTGGACAATTATAAGTACATTTTAAATAACCCATTGGCTTATTTAATTTATCTTTGTTGTCTACAGTATTTATCTAAAGAACTTGGAGCAGACCCTGTTGTGTTTGGCTACCTTCAAACTACATTTGCTGTGGTGCAGTTAGCTGGTGGACCGGTGTTTGGCAGATTTGGGGATCTGTTTGGGAGTCGTATAGCCATGATGCTGTCCTTTGTTGCAGCTGCAGCTTCCTACTTTTTACTTGCAGTTTCTACAAATATTCCATTACTATTCTTATCACGGTTGCCTTCGGTTTTTATGCATGCTATGCAAGGTAAGGTCACTCCTAAAAGCTAGTAAGTTATATCCCTTTGAGAGGGTTGAAATGCCCTCCTGAAATTCTAGGATGCCTTGAAAACTTTTTGAAATTTCAAAAAAGCTTAAAACCTCTTTTGATTTTCCCCATTTTAAAAACAAAATCTCCTGAAGTTTAAACAATCACAATTAAAGTGTGAGGGGGCGATTCAAATTTGTAAGTTGGCTGTATAAATTTTTACGACACCTTGAAATTTGCTTTTTTAAGTTAGGTGCATCAACCTTGTTTTGAAAAATATTGTATGTTTTTATAAAATAACTAGTTATACTGCCTAGCGTCGCACCCGAGCACTTTGCTTTATATATATAGATCATTGTGACTGTGTCAAGTAAAGTGTTAGATACTTATAAAATATCTATAAATAGTTAAATTTTTTTATTTTAAAATTGTGACTTTATGAACAGAAAAATAATCAGTAAAATCATATTTATCAAAATTAATTTGATTATTTAAGACTTTATATAACATGTAGACAGAAATACAATTTCTGACCTGACATTCTTGATTTTTATTCTATAAAATTGCAGCCGGACAGATGATTGTTACAGATGTGTGCGTCCCCAAGCAGAGAGCAGATGCACTGGGCAAATTGGGCTTGTCTTATGGTATTGGGATGGTTATTGGGCCAGTGATAGGTGGCTTGATAGCTAAATTTTTTAGGTAGGTATGCATACCTTAGATTTGCTCATTATTGAGATAGTCTGATATACCTTAAGGCAAAAGCCACCTGCTCAATATCCTTTTCATTGTTGCTTAATTATTACTGAACTAGTACATGTTGCTTTCCCTCATTGAAGTAAAAATACAACTGGCTGTTTCATATTTTCTCTTACACCCAGGGAAATTAAGCATGTTTTACAGCTTAACAATCCTTAATAAAATAAAATAAATGCTTTATCCAGAACAGTTGTTAGTATAGTTAAAACATAATTTGACTCACTCTTACCCCATATAACTTTACGTTAAATACCATAGACCACCACTTTAATATTGCAAAACATTTCAAGGAGCACTTACAAATTGTTACAACCCTCCAAATTATTTTAAAAATTAATACAACATAACTAATTTCTGTGTAACTTTTAAAACTTTGAATGATACCTTTACATCGTACTGTTGATTACTAATAAATTATCAAACCTCATACTTTTGCAGTATTTATATCATCACACTGCTTTTAGAAAAAATTTTGAAGTCTCCTTTGAAGTTATGCATTTCACCTATACTCTGTATTTCAGATCCACAGGTGTCGGGGGGGGGGGGGGTTACAGTATTGCCAAAACAAATTGCATAGATAAATCACTAATTACACTTTTTATGTTCTGTGTCCGTGATCTCTCAGATCCACAGTTGGTGGGGGGTGGGGTTACAGTATAATCAAAACAAATTGCATAGATAAATCACTAATTACACTTTTTATGTTCTGTGTCCGTGATCTCTCAGATCCACAGTTGGTGGGGGAGGTGGGGTTACAATATAGCCAAAACCAATTGCATAGATAAATCACTAATTACACTTTTTATGTTCTGTGTCCGTGATCTCTCAGAGCCACCTCTTGTAAAACACAGCTGGGTTCTGCATGCACCCATCTGTAAGAAATAATCGCACAACTAAAGCTTCACAAACTTTGATTAAAACTTCTAAATCTAGATCACACATATAGGGCCTAGGCTTCACCCAGTTTAGAAACCTACCAGATTCTTTCCAGAAACCAAAGCTCTAAATCTTACACTTACACAATACACTTAACACTAATCTCAGACACAGCAACATAAACTGTTAACATAAATATTTATATAAATTAAAAAATATCAATATATATTAATATATATATAAAGTGCTTTGATCAATATACCTAATTCCCCTTGATATCTAGCCTAGAGAAAGCCACTGTGGTAGCCTGTATATTATCCTTGGTTAGCATTGCCATCACCTACATCTATATCCCTGCATCAATAAAGAAAGCTACTCCTGCAGGTTGTTGTATTTCTTATAAAACTTTTTACATTTTTGGTAGGCCTATTTATAAGAATGCCAGTAGTGCCATAAAAGCTATTTTTAGATTAATTTTATTGATGCATCCTAACAGTCGAAGTGTAAGAAATTATCACTTGTTACTATATGCATTCTTATAATACAGATAGTTAATTTATTTTATAGGCTGCAATAACATTCAATAACAATTTTTTTTTACAGAAACAGACAATAATGTTTTCAACATTAAAAAAATATTGGAGTTAATGGCAGCTCCTGGTGCTATTTTTCTGATTATTATTAAAGTTGCAACAGGTATGTGGATTCACTGACTATCATTTATTCTACTTTCTATTTAAAAATTCTTTCAAAACGTTTTTTTATAAATCCATAACATTTTGAGGTAGATGTGCAACTGTTGTTTTTTTAAAATAATCTGTGCTATTTAATCATCTTTTCTGTGTTTTTCTTTCCAGGTATTCCTATAGGTATATTCCAGAGTATGTTCAGCATCGTAGCCCTTGATATGTTCAAACTGCCAGCAGAACAAAACAGCTACATTATGTCCTACATTGGCATCATGGCTATGGTAATTTGTTTCTTTTTGCTTACCAACACAGTTATTGCCATAATACAATTATTTTACTATGCATATTTTCTTTTTGTTTAATTGCACTGAAGAATTTAATCTAAATTAGCTAATTAAATGATAAATGATAGCCTTTGTCAGGACATTGAAATAATACTTTGTTTAGTTAGGGTTTGTCAAATTAGTCAATTTATTTAGTTAGTTAGGGTTTGTCAAATGAGGTCTATTGGTATTTGGGGTTCATCAAATTAGACTGTTTAATTAGTTAGGGATTGTCAAATTAGATAGTTTATTGAGTTAGTTAGGGTTTGTAAAATGAGTCTATTTTTAGTTAGGGTTGATCAAATGAGATTAATTCTTTCCTCAGATTGTGCAGGGTGTAGGTATTGGTGTTGTGACTAAAAGATTCTCAGAGTTGAACATCCTGTTTGGGTCAGCATTTATATTGACTGTCTCTTATCTCATGTTGGTAAGTGGCCAAACTGAAAAATATTTGTTTAGGTCAGCATTTATATTGACTGTCACTTATCTCATGTTGGTAAGTGGCCAAACTGACAAATATTTGTTTAGGTCAACATTTGTATTGACTGTCACTTATCTCATGGTCAAACTATAAAAAATATGTCCTTAAATATTTGTCTAGTTTTGTATGAGATACAGTATAATACATTTGTTTAGGACAGGGGTCTCCAAACTATGGCCCGCGGGCCGGATGCGGCCCACGATGTCCTCTCATCTGGCCGCAGAGATCTTTTTGTTCACGGAAAAAACGTTTGTTGGTGATGGCTTAGGAACTTTGCCCAGAAAAATCAAAGACATGCCGGAAAGAACCTGGCCCCCGAACTGAAATTTGATAGTTAATGCGGCCCTCGGACTAAAAAGTTTGGAGACCCCTGGATTAGGACAACCAAACAACCCACATGCCCATACAAATTTTTAAGTGACTCAGTGTTGATTATACAGTATATTTGTATATGACAGTATTAGCTTATGGTGAAAGGTGTCTGAAAGTATTTGTAGATTAGTGGATCTCATGTTGCTTGGTTGTTACAAAGGGATAATAAACCAGATTGCTCATTGGTAGAAAAAATGTAATAATAAATATACAAACAACCCTCAGGTTTTAAATTCTCCACATTTTGCACATGATTACCAACATTAGTTAGGTTGTCGCTTTACCTACTTTTTTTCACCATCGTCATGGTAGTGATGGTTGCCGAAAAAGACGATACTGTGAATCCATTTTTACTTTCTCGTATACAAAGTATATAGAACGTATTGTAATCGGGCAAAAAAAAAATTAAGATTCTTTACAAATCTAGAAGTTCTACACCTCCCAGAGTAGGAAGAACATAGTTGTGCAATTTTGTCCGTATGTCTGTGTGTGTGTATGTGTGTCTGTAAACACGATAGCTTGAGTACCGTTACAGCTGGGTTGATGAAATTTCATATATAAGTATTACATAAAATTTGTAGTTCTATATCAGCTTTTCAGATGATGTAATCTTTTGATTTCTCTCTCCAGTCATTTGTGACAACAATCTGGCAGATGTGTTTTGTTTTTATTCCTCTGATCACCGGCCTCACATTCCAAAATGTTGTTACAACAAGTGCCCTTACACACACTGTTAGTGTGGCTGACACAGGTAATTACACACTCATTTCAAAACATAACCTGTACTTCAAGTTTTTTAAGACATACCAAGGACATTTTTTTTTTTTAAATTGAAATGTAAATTTTAACACGTTTTTATTAACTCAGCTTCGCGTTTGTGTGTTTGTTGTTAAAATTGACATCGAAAATTAGCCCACTTCTGATTGCTCTATAGATCTGAAATTTGGCATGCAGGTTACTTTCGCCTAACAATTTCAGATGCAATCATAAAAACTAGCAATTAGAGACCGTAATTAGCTTAATTTAATTACGCCCCAAGGACCATAAAATTGAGGACATGATTTCTAAAGATACCGACAAGACTGGAGGCTTATTGACACAGTTACTTCGGCCCCAATCGATGTGAGCGCGCTGGCCGTGATCGTATAGTGGTTAGTACTTCGCGTTGTGGCCGCGACAACCCAGGTTCGAATCCTGGTCGCTCAAGATTTTTTTAGTCCGTGTATTTATAAACACTTAGTCAATTCATACTTAATCAAGTCATTAGATAAAGTAGAAAATAAACTATATAAAAAACTTTTAAAAACCACGTTTTTCACGTGTAGCAACGGACTAAAAAGGAGAAAATAAAGTACTTTAAAAAAACTTTTTAAATAACCACGTTTTTCTTGTGGACTAAAAAGTAGAAAATAATTATTTACATACATTTGATGACAAAAAACGTGGGTCGGGCAGATGGGTCGGGAAATTTGATGGTGAACGTACCCACGTTTTTTGTCATCAAATGTATGTAAATAGTTATTTTCTACTTTTTAGTCCACAAGAAAAACGTGGTTTTTTAAAAAGTTTTTTTTAAGTATTTTATTAGTATAATTAGCCCTGATAAATTGTTTTATCATGTTGTTGTTCTTACACTATATTATCATTTGATAACCTCTTTCACCTTTGCTGTAAATGCCTCCCATTGTGTCAGACCTATGACTATTTAGATATTTTATAAACTAAGAATCACTGTGTATAAATTATATATTTGAATAATAGCATTTATAGAACAGAGAGATAGAACAAGCTATGCATATCTTAGGTCTAGCATTCTGTGCTGTGCAAACATGAGAAGGGGGTGAGGGAGGGTTAGACATGGCAACTCATGTATCAAAAGTGTCTGCAAAGTTTAGTAAAGTACTACAAGAATTACTCATTTCTGTTTCCTATATTAAGTAATCCTTCAAATAAATTAGCCTTTTCCTATTTAAATTTTGGCAAAAGTGGAGAAAGGACCTGCAAAAAAAGTTTTCCAACATAAAAAAAAATATTACTCTGCTGGAAAATATCAGCGGAAAATTTTCCTCAAATGGAATAAACAGATTTCCATCAAAAATGGAAAAGTTACATCTCTGTTAATGCTGTTTTTGTATTTTTTATTGTAATATTAGGTGAACGTGTGTTATTAAAAACAAATTTTGCCAGATAAGAATAGGTGCGCTTCCCCTTTTTTTTTCAAAGAGACCCTCTAATTTTAAAGTAATGTTTCCTGAACTAAAAATGTTGATTTGAAACTGTCTGCAGGTGCCATGCTAGGCCTGAGTATGGCTGTCAACTCACTCATCAGGTCCCTCTCCCCCACAGTGGGTGGCTATATGCTCAAGGAGTATGGCTTTGAATCCTTTGGATATTTAGGCTTTGTCACAAGTTTTATCGTCACTGCTGTTCTATTTGTACGGAAGAGAGCTGAATTAGATTAGCTGTAGAGATTAATTAATCAAAACTTTTTAATCCCCATTAGACTGTAGAACCACAACTGTATATCTTGAGTGCTCATTCACTAGTCTATAAAGATTTTTTTTTTCAACTTTACATTTTAAAATACTTTTAGAATTAAAAATGGATTCATAGAAATATATATTTTTTATTTCATAAAAAATCTAAGTGAGGACAGTTTTACTGTTAAGAAATAGCTTTTATTTTATTAAGATTCCCATTCTAGGTTAAGAAGTGTAAGGTCATGTTGATTTAATTTTGATAGCATAATCGTGTGATCAACAATAGTTAATGGTTTTTTTAAATTAAGAAACAGCTGAACATTGAATTGATTTTTTTCTTCTTGAACAATAATAGCCTTATTTATTTTTATATTGGTTTTGAAATTCAGACCTTGCAAACTGTACTTCTTAGTCATATAAACCATGGTCTTACTATATCATCAACATTGACAGATCCAGTTTATTGTTGGGAGAGGGGGATAAAAAGTTTTCATTACACACACACACATATATATATATAGGCCTACATATATATATGCCTATATATATATATACACATGCATTTATATACACAAATTTTGAGTATATGTAGGGCCTAGACATATATTCCAAAAACATAATGGTAAGTATCTAAACTCCCCATGCACCTCTAGATCTGACTTTGTTCATCACACTTAAAATACAGTGTGTAATAACTAAGCAACAGACATAAGCAATAGATTGACATGTAGTAACCTATTTTTAAAAAATGTCATATACAACCCTGCCTTTTAATAACAAAATAATTTTGACCTTACACTCACCAACTTGTCAATGGCATAGTCAGGCTGAAGAGTGCAATGCTGCCAACACAAAGATCTCATTATTGGATCCCTGTCCATCGGACATCCCTGAGTCCACCCAGCTCTGATGAGTACCTAATTCACGTTAAATACAGGAACCTAGACATACAACTGACAACACAATACCTTCATATACAGAGATCACAGTAACATGTGAACTCTGCTTCTGACCTATGGCCCACTAGGTTTAAAAGATTAACTTTTATTTTGTTACTACTGCCCAAATTAGTCCAGTTTGTTCACTCAGAGATGGTTGAAATAGTAAAAAAAAACTTTAACTGTTTGAAATTCTCTTTTCTGATACATTTGTCTGAAGTATGTAAAGCTCCATAATGAATTGAATAGCTTAACACCAATAGCAAATTTGAGTTTTTCAGCCTACCTTAAACCTACTTAAATGCTTATTTAAAAAATGTAAACCTTAATTTATATACTTTAAAGCTACAAGTTTACAAACTTCCCCCACAACTGTGGCACATATAATTAGTAGAATAAATAATTAGACATAACTATGTCCTTTTATGTTTGGCTCTATCTTAAAATAGCTATAGGTTCATCTCTGCATGGAGGTTTACATCTATCATTTTTTCTTTATTAGTTTTGTTTGTTTGGTTTATTTTTGTTTTTTTTTTTAGTTTTGTTTTTTTTTTTGTTTTTTTTTTTTGTCAAATGACGTTAGAAAAAAAATTAAGTTTTTAAAATAGGTGATGACTAAGCCTCTATATTTGCTATATATTGAGAAAGTAGTTTGAAAGAATATGTTTGGACAGTGAAAAGATGTTGAACTATTGCGTTTAAAATTTCTAACAAACTTTCTAGATGCCTTAATCTGTGATCTGTTAAGAGATGTTTTGTAACATATTCATATTAAATATTTTAACTGTGATGTTTGTTCTTGTTTTTTAAAATATACTTTTACCAAAATCATATATTGAAATATACTACTAATTAATTATGATGAAGTTCCAGCTACCTACATGTACATTTACCTAGTAATTTTTCTAGATAAAAAAAATTATGTTTTAAATGTTATAGATTTTTAAAAATTGGATTTTTCTTCTAATGATTCATATTTCTTTGAACAATAAAGTCAGTCCTGTTGAACAATAAAGACAGGTTGACTTTTTACATCCTAGCATAATTTTTTAAGCCTCTTGCCTAAAAACCTTTTGTAAAAGTTGTTCAAATTAAATATTCTAGTTCTTATCAAATATTTGATAGTTCACTTTTTACATATTAATCAATTAGTTTGTTTTGCTTTTATTATTATAAAATAGTTTGAATAACTGCTTCTGTTAACATTATTTATTTGTTGGAAGTAAGTCAATATTTATCTCAATTGTTATATAGAAAATCTCATTTTATTTTTTATTCATGTGTATTGGTAAAGATCCATCTAGATAACTTTTAAAATAACCATTATTCCTTTTTTATGTTCTGTACAATTTCAATGACAAAGTTTGTTTGATTATGCATAATGAAATGAAAGTAACTAAAGCTGTTTTTAACTTAAATATTCAAATGTACATGTTACTTTTTCAGGATATAAACTCTAAGCTGAAAAAAAAGTAATATTATAGTTTGGTGTGATCACCGCTGTGCCTGTTCCTTGTTAGTTTCTTGTCATACAAAGTGTGTTATTTTCACAGTGTGATACTAAAGCTGGTCAATATTTCAATGTATTTGAGTTAGTTTAAAAAATCACTCTTTTTTATTAACTTAGCTTAAATTGAACTAATTTTTTAATGCTCAGCAGTTACTGTTACGATGTAACGTCATTTAAAAAATAACAACCATTGAATTGTATTGTTTCAAAAAAAAAAAAATTATTTTTAAGGTAATTTTTTAATGAGCACTGTTTGAAATATGACCAATATGTATTCAAATTTTTCTTTGAAAATAATTTATGCCTTTCTTCTTCTAAATCTGCTTTTTATTTTATGTTTACATTATAACTGGGTGAAGAAAGTGTATATTATATGTAATAAGCATCTCATCCGTGTTAAAAAAAAAACATGCTCTCATCACAAACTCACTCTTCTATTATTTAAAAAAAAATTTTTACAACACATTTTAGATTTACTTTGAGCATATAAAATGTCCATTGTCTATGGACATCTTAATAATTAATATACACATTGTGTTAAATTATAATTGAATGCACTGACCTAGACCTATATTTGGAGCGTCAATACCAACACAGATGGTGTTTGTTGATTTTCAATTAGTATTTTTTCTATTTCTGGGTCAAATTCTCTGTTTACGGTCTTAGTTTATTTAGTTTATTTCATTATATTTTTGTAACGGATTCTGTAATTGGTAATGTTCATTAAAATGTATTAAACGTAATCTATTTTAAAATGGTCATTTTTTGGAACAGTGTGGTTCAATGGTAGAGTAGAACGCTCGATTTGCCTACCCAAAACTTTTGAGTTTAATTCTTGGGCTCAAGTCGGCTAAGTCCATCTTATTTCTGGAAGTAAAGGCAGCCCTGCATGGTTCTGTCCACACTATCCCTAAGCTGGGGTCACTGAAGTAGGTGAACTTAACTTCATCTACCCTGTAGGTCGTAAGGTTTGACAGGGTAGATTTGTAACCAATTCATAAAAAAATCATGACAGCCAACAGCTCACTTCAACAAGAATCAGGTTGGAAGGTTTTAAGATCTAAGGTGGCAGAACTTGGCTTTCAATCATTGTGGTTATGGTATGGATGTATGTACATTACTGCAGTAAAAAAATATACAACTTACAATATTTTTGACAATATACGTTGACTGTGTTGGAAACGACATATTGGCCAGGTCTATATTGACCCGTTTATTATCTCATTAACCACTTAGGGGTCATCCATAAATGACGTCATGCTTTTTTTGACGATTTTTACTTCCCCCCCCCCCCCCTCTATCCCCTCCGTCACACGTTTGTCACAAAAAGCCAGACCCGCCCCCTAAAATGACGTTACACCTCAGCCTACAACACCACCACCCCCCCCCCCCCTCAATATTGCAGTTGAATGTTTTTTAAAACATCGATATTTTTCTAAAATCTTGTCTGAACTCTGTCAAAATAGAGTATTTTAATCAATTCCTATTACAATTTATTAAAACAGTTTTCTAAAACGCGAAATAACGTCTAATATTCGTTTTCTAACATTGCTTTATGGCGCAATTTCCATTCTGGAGAATAGCGATTATTATTATTAACTCGTCATTTCTGGGAATGGATGGATGGATGAATGTCCGCAGCTTTAAGTCGTATCTCCTCCTCAACGAAGCAATATCGAGGACTAGTTCCAAAGCAAATATGTTAAGCAAGTTCCGAGGATGATTGTGGGCCAAAAAAATTCCCGGAATTCCTTCCTGGATTTCCCGGAAAAGCCAAAAAACCTCCATGTAAGTAAAAGATCTAATTCTCTGGTTAAAGTCGTAAAATTATTTGATTGGTTGAAAAATATGGATGGGATAATGAATTTGTAAAAAGAATTCGTGGCCCCTAGCTGCTGCCTTTCAGTTTCTTTACCCGTTTCTGTTTGTAAACCTGGTGCTACATTTGCAGCATGGACAATGCATTGAAACAAGAATATGAAGTCTGTAAAACTGGAATGAAAAGAACACGAACCACTGCACCTCTAAACATCCCGGTGAGAAAAATATACGTTGGGATGTGATGTTATATAATCTCTTGAGGAAGAGGTCAGATGTCTGTTCTGCCAGTTAAAGATACGTGTCATCGATGCCGAAAAACGTACTCACGTAATCTCAGTACGAATAAAAAACAAATATGAAGCATTTTAAAGAAGAAAGTTTTATTGATAGGCCCAATCAAAGTAAGTGCAAATAAAAGCATGAATGCAACGAAATAAATGTACTAAACTTCAAAAGTTACGGGGCACAAATAAAGTAACAATTTGATTAATTATGTAATTAATTGTAATCATAATTAAACAAGCTATTTTTTTTAAAAAAAATGGTGATTGTTTTTCTATTGTTCAGTCTTGTTAATAATGAAACGTAACACTAAGATTAATGACTAAATTAGTTCTTTGAAAACTGACTGAAACCCATATAGTATATAGGCCTATTAATAGCATTATGGAGATCTACGTTAAATCTACGTCTGTTAAAAAAAAATGCTTTTAAGTTTTAATAAATGATATTTGATTGTTACTTCAACGTTTTAGAAAATATTATCTTTAACATGTCTGTTATTAATAT